CACACACACACACACACACACACACACACACACACACACACACACACACACACACACACACAATTTTAGTTTGTCCTTCCTTTTGGCTACCACTACCTTGTGAGAGATTACAGAATGAAAAGGGCAAGGAAGCTAGGAAGACTTGAGTTTGAGCCATGGCCACTCATCTCACCTACTGAGCCTCAATTTCTCACTTGTAACATGGGAAAATTACCTAATTCCCATGTTTAGCTAGTTTATGGGGATTAAAAACAATGCATGTCAAGTGCTTGACACCCAAGAAACGCTCGATAAATAGCGGCTATACCACACCACTAAGAAGCCCTCAACGTACTGAATTACAAAGAACTCTTGGTCGGTCTCCCGTGCTAGACTGCGAGCTGCCTGAGGGAATCCCTTCCGCAGCCGCGCAGTGTGGGCGGCACTAAAGGTGGGGAGGGAGGGAGCAAGCCTGGCCGGGCCCAAGGCACGCAGCTCCAATTCCCGGGGGAAGGCCAAGCAAAGCGGACTCAACCTCCTGGAAGTGACGCCACGGGGCGAGCTGTGCCGGAGCTAGGCCGGCCAGAGCGGGGCGCGCGCAACCATGGCGGAAGCGGAAGGCAGTTTTCCGCTCCTGTTGCCGCCGCCGCCACTCCTGCCCGGGATGGCGGAAGTGGAGGTGAAGACGGCAGCCGAGACGGACATGAAGCATTTCCGCGGCCCGGGTAGTGGCGTCATGGACGTGGAGCGGAGCCGCTTCCCCTACTGCGTGGTGTGGACGCCCATCCCGGTGCTCACGTGAGTCTCCTTCGAAGTCAGCCTGGGGACGAGGAGAGCCCGGGGAAAGTCAGGGCCCTCACGGCGTCTTCGGACGGCCCTGGCCCACGCTCCCGCCCTGACGCGCAGTGGGCCTTCCCCCGGGCCCGGCCCGCACGCCTTGCGCAGTCACCAGAACCCGTGCCACCCGCCCGGCGCCAGTTTCAGCTGACAAATGGGAGACGCTCATCGCCCTCATACACTACATCTGGTCTAGCCGGAATAAAAAACGATTGTAGACCGCCGGGAACGGGGCTGGCAGGGAAGCTCAGGAGCTGTGAACGCAGAAAAGAGGAACTTTTTACCCCGCCTGAGAAGACATCTTCATTCATTCATTAGTTTATCCATTCATTGAGCAAGTGCTTATTGTGCGCTTACTTTACGCAAGACACCTGCTGGATCTGGAAGTGAGAGTGGGAGTTTGGTTGGGACCACACAGTCTCCTGGGATGTCAACATTAGAAGGGCCCCTAGAGATCTGATGAGGCTGGAGATGACACACCATCTCAGTTGCAAAGTTTAGGGTGTTTGCTTCCTAGGCTACCTGCCTTCTAGGTGTCTGCCTCCTAGGCCAGGGAGGGTTCTTTCTGTGGCACCATCCTGTGTCAGGAGAGAAAGCAGACGCTCAGGTATTGCTGCCACCTTTTAGCCACGAACTCCCGTGTTGGAGAGCTGGTTTGCCCTCTTGCTTCATCCTTGACGGTTGACAGCAGTAACTACTTCTTACAGTGCTGGACAGTTTGCCAACCCCTTTCACAACCCATTTTCTGTTAATTTCACAGCCATTCTCTCTGATAAAGAAGCTGAGCTTTCAGTACCATTAAGCGTTTTAACCAGGTGCACAAGGATAATAAGCAAAGGCACCTAAAATTCTTAGTCTTCTGACTCCATAACTTGTAGTCTTTTGACTACATCTCATCCCCTCTCACATGATGGGATAGATTTGTTCTGTGTGTCAGAAACAGCCAAGAGGTTGTATGGAGAAGGGATCATTTATGGCGTTATATGTTGTTGATCCTAAAATCATGTTAATTTTTGTATTAAGTTAAAATACTTGTATTGTGTTTTCAAATGCTTATGCATTTGCTTAAGAGCATCCAAGTCTGAGCCCTTTAAAAATAAACATTTTACAAAAGAGTGTTCATTAATTCATTCAGTGTTCTTTTAACACATTTGCTAAGTGACTCCTATGTGTCTAGAATAGTTCTAGTTGATGAGAATATACAGTGGTGAATAAAACAAATATAGTCCTTACTTCCATGGAGTTTAAGTCATGGTGGAAGAAAGTAGACAGGAAACAAGTAAACTAATAAGAGAACTGCAGATAGCGATTGTTACGAAGAAAATAAAATGTTAACGTGATAGAAACTGGGAGGGATAGTCAGCAATGTATCGATTTTGTTAAAAGTCTGTGCTGTTAGCTTAATATCTCCTTGGTCTTTCCCCACTCTCAAAAACACCATCTGTGGAGTGGCCCTCTGCTCTTCAGAGAGCTGGTGGAAGCATCAGGATGCCCTGTAAGCTGGGCCAGGAGCAGTTCACACCCCATTTCTATGCAGGTGTTGATGAGACACTCCCACTCTTCAGAAGCATGCAGCAGCTTTACTGCTTCAGAGTTTTGTTTTCTGCCTGTTGGTATCCTGTCCTTCACAGGGTCAAGGTTAATAGCCACCTCCTCTGTGAAGTCCTTTGCTGACCGCCTCCACCTCCCTAGCAGGGTGCTTTGTGCTTGCGCCGAGGCAGCCCTTGTGGCCCTGAGACCAGGAGTGGCCCTGTGAGTCCTCTTCAAACTAGAGCCAAGTCTGCAGCCCCCTGGCGCTGCCGACAGAGCTGGGGTTCCTGTGTATTTTGCATATTGCACTCCATCTAAGATTTGGTTTTTAAAAAATGCCAGTGGCTAAAAAAAAGTTGACCTTTTAGTTCCTGGAATATATCATGCTTTTTTCCTGATCTCTACCCTTGCAGATCCTTTTTCCTCGTCATTTCCTCAGGCGAGCCTTACCTGAACCCCCCCACCACCACAGATTAGTTTAAATGTCCTCCCCACCTTTTTTTGCCTTTTTTTTCCCTTGAGGTATAACTTAAAGTACGTAAATCTTGTGTACAGCTCAGTGGATTTTTGCATATGTGTACCTCATGTAGTCACTACCCAAAGGGTGTCCTGTGTCCCTCCCAGTGAGGTCCACCACAAAGATAATGCATAGATTAGTTTTGCCTTCTCTTGAACTTCATATAAACAGAATCATTCCTTATGTACCCCTAGGGTGAGGTTTCTTTTGCTCAGCCTTATGTCTGTTAGAGCCTGTGCTACGTGCAGCAGAAGTTTATTCTTTTTCATTGTTGTATAATATTTCGTTGTCTGATTGTACCACAATTTATTCATTTTACTGTTGTTGGAAGGAGCCCTGGTGGTACAGTGGTTAAGCACTCAGCTGCTAACCAAAAGGTCAGCAGTTCGAACCCACCAGCTGCTCCATGGGAGAAAGATGTGGCAGTCTGTTCCATAAAAGATTACAGCCTTGGAAACCCTATGGGGCAGTTCTGCTCTGTCCTTTAGGGTCACTATGAGTCGGAATTGACTCGACAGCAATGGGTTTGGTTTTTGGTTTACTGTTGTTGGACATTTGCATTGTTTCTAGTTATTTTTTTAATCCACTTTATTGAGGTAATTTACATACACACATCTTAAATGTATAGTTTACTGAGTTTTAACAAATGTCATTTTCTGCTATTTTGAATAAAGGTGCTATGAGCATTCTTGTGCACGGCTTTGGTGGACACATGCACTCATTTCTGTTGGTTGTATACTCAGAAGTGGAATTGCTGAGGCAGAGAGTATATTGCCAAATTGTTTTTCCAAAGTAGTAGAAACAGATTTATACTCCCATCAGCAGTGAGTGAATGAGAATTCTGGTTGCTCTTCATCTTCACCTCCACTTGGTGTTGTTATCAGTTCTTTTAGGTATAGCCATTCTGGTGGAGGTGCTCGTGATTTGCAGCTGTTGCTCTTCTCTTCTTCCCCAGCTCCCCTCAACCACTCTGATCACAACACTCACCACCCAAATTATATTCCTATGGAGTATCCCCATTGTCTGCCAGGCTGAAAGACCCCCTAAGCTCTGCCCCTTCCCTGTCCTTTTCTCTCCCAGGTGGTTTTTCCCCATCATTGGCCACATGGGCATCTGCACATCCACAGGAGTCATCCGGGACTTCGCTGGCCCCTACTTTGTCTCGGTGAGTCCCCACTCTACCCCCTTTGGAGGGTCCCAAGGCTTGAATGGAAGGCTGGTCTGTCTTGCCTGTAGGCAGGCTTCCTGTCTCCTCAGACCCAGGAGAATGCAGATCACACTCAATCCCTTTGCCCTCACCAGTGTTTGATCCCTTTCCCCCTTCTCTTGCCTCCAGGACAGGCCGGGAGGGCAGAGTGGCCAGGAGTCTTAAGTAACTGACCCAGCCGTTTGCCCCCGCCCTTGGGGTACTGAGACATGGGTAGGGGTTAGAGGCAAGAGTGGAGAGTCAGACCATCCAGGAACTACATCTCTGGACCTTCAGAAGGTGGGAGTCACAAGGTGGGCGGAAGGGAAGGCTGACGGGTTCCCTGGGTGTGACCATGGAGGAAAGGGGGTGGGGCTTCTAGAATGGAACAGCTTATCTTCCCAGGGATGCGACCAAAACGGGGTCAGTGGGCTTGCTGCAGTTGAGCATGTTATCATCCTGCTTATTTCCAGGTTGTCGCTTGATCTTCATCCGAGTCTGGAGCAAAGGGTGTGGTGGCACCAATCTGTTTATAATACCAGTCATCATGGTCATCTTAACATGACAAAGTCTGCCACTTTGCCACTTAAAAATACTTTCATGCCTGTTGCTTTCCTTGTCATTATATTTTTATGATAATTGGGATTACACTGCATATAGGGCACTGGTTTTCTATCATCTCTGACCCCCTCTGTCAGCAAGATCTTCCAGATTCTTCACCTAGAATCTGTCTCCGCATAGCTCCTGCCACCCCACATCTTACTGTGATGAGTCCAGGTCTTGGCTGAAATGTCTCCCTCATAGGAAGTCTCTCTACGCCCAGCACCCCCAGTTCTACTCTGAAGGCAGTCACATGGCCTCTGCATCCCCAAACGCAGAGACAGGCTCCACTTGGCCACCATTTTTGGGTTGGGAGGTCAGAGGACTGTCACCATTTACACCACAAAGGAAACTGCCTCCCCTTGATCAAAGATCAGATAAGCTTGACCACAGAACCTGGAGACTTTAAAGCTCAGAGAATTACCTGGATGCCAGCAGAGGGTCAGTTGCAGCTGAACCCAGAGCCCAGGTCTTTGGTCTCCTGGTGCGGTGCCCGGTGTACTCGCTCACGGCCATAGTCCCACAGGAAAGCTACCGCTGGCACTTTAGTGCAGCTCCAGCCCCAGAGCAGGGCCCATGCCCCTGGCCCACTTCTGAGTCACTGCACTTCAGCCACTGACCCAGGGCTGTCTTCTGGGCTGGATGCAGGTTCCCCGCTGACCTCTTTTCTTGTCCTTCACAGGAAGACAACATGGCCTTTGGGAAACCTGCCAAGTAAGTGATGAACATGCATATGATTGGCCCTGGGGCCAGGTTCCTCCTGCCTGGAGCAGCAGGCCGGACCTTCTGGGGCCCAGTAGAAGCCAGCACTCTGAGGACAAGTGTGGAGGGGAGGGACAACCAGGAGCCACCAGAGCTTAGCAGCCTTGTAACAAGTGCCCACCACGTGCCAGGCTCTGGACCAACTCCTCCACCCACAGACCATCTAGGCCTTGCCCCAGCTTGGCAATATCCTGTTTTAACTTCTTTGGAAGGGTGAGGAAAGGGGAGTGACGTGGTCAAGACAGCAGTTAGGAAGTGGTGGAGCTGGGACCCACATCCACATCTGTCTCACTCCAAAACCTAGACTCTTCCTCCCACTCCTCATGGGGGTGAACAAATCATTTAGGGTATAAGGTTGTTTGAAACTCTCTGCTGGAAAGTTCTGGTTGGAGAGGACAAAAGTAATTGAGGGCCCTAAGCGCTATTGCTGGTTTGGTTTGGGATTTTTGGTCTTCCTTTTTTCTGTCTTGGGGACCCGCCTCAGCTGCAGGCCTGGTGACAATGCCTCAGTCATCAGTATGCTCAGAACAGCATCAGGTGCTTTTTGCCTGTAGCTGCATTTAGGAGGGACAGACAGGGAAGCGCCATCCCAGGACCCAAGGAGGAGTTGTGCCCACATAGCAGAGGCAGCCTGGAGTGGGCTTCCCTATTCCTGCTCTCACTTCCTCAGTCAGGTGGAAATGTGATCCAAGGGCCTCTGGGCTGGGTGTTTGCTGCCAGATTGCTTTTTGAGAACAATTTTAAGGTTGCCCATTTCCAGGCAGGAGCTCCTGAGTGGCCCCAGTCCAGGCCACTGTCATGTCTCACTGGTCAGTTACCCTGTCTCTAGACTCCTCTGCCAAGCCATTCCCCACACAGCAGCCAGAGGGCGCTCTGATCCTAATCCTCCCTGGCCCGAGTCCCTTTGGGGCATTCTGTTGCTGCTGAGAACAGCAGTTCTCATCCAGCTTGGTTGGGGTTTATGAACTTTAGCTCTACCATCTTGCCTTCCACTCACCCCCAGCAAGCTGTGGGAGACCTTGAAGAGAACACTTGCTGACACATAAACTTCTTAGTGTGACATTCAAGTTCCCCTATGACGTGATCCCCCCACCCACATCTCCAGCCTCACCTCCAACATTCCATCACCTTATTTCTTCCTCTAAATCCCCCAGTAGCCCATAGTCACTACTTTCAGGTACACACTGCACAGCTTTATGCCTCTCACTTTATTCAAGCTGTTCCCTCTGCCTAGAATGCTCCTCCCCTTTTCTGGGCCTGACTAACTTCTTCCTTCAGACTAGACTCAGGTGTCACCTCCAGAAAGACTTCTCACAACCCCCAACAGAGTTTCGTTGGTCCATATCCTCCCCAGGGTCTGCTGTGTGACTCTCTCCCTGGATCTGCAGCCTCAGCACGAGCTCGGGGCCAGGCACAGAACAGGCATCAGGGAACATTTGTGGAGCTGAGTGGCCACAAGGGAGCAGAGCTAGTGCCCAGAACCTCTCTCTCCCCTCAGGTACTGGAAGTTGGACCCTGCTCAGGTATACGCTAGTGGGCCCAATGCATGGGACACAGCTGTGCACGACGCCTCCGAGGAGTACAAGCACCGCATGGTAGGTGGGCTGGAACCAGGGCCAGGGTGGGAGGTTTCCCTGCAGCCCAGCCTAACCCAACCCTTCCTGCACCTCCAGCATAATCTCTGCTGCGACAACTGCCACTCGCACGTGGCATTGGCCCTGAACCTGATGCACTACAACAACAGCACCAACTGGAACATGGTGACGCTCTGCTTCTTCTGCCTGCTGTATGGGAAGTATGTCAGGTGAGCTGCCGTCCTACCTGCCCACCCACCGCTGCCTTTCACTGGAGCTCTCTTCCATGGGTCCCAGCAAGGCCATTTCTAGAATCCTTCAGCCAGCAGGGAGGAAGCAGATGCAAATCAGAGACTTGAAGGCTCCAAGACAATGAGCTGGGTTCCTGAAAGAGCAGGAGGTGACTGTGCTGAAGGCAGGGAGCACTGGACTTGGAGTCCAGCTTCACTAGGGTCCCAAACCCAGCTCTGTCACTTATTCACTATGAGCTCTTGAGTAACTGGCATTGTCTCTCTAAGTTGCAGCTGTCCTCTATATCTTGGAGGTAATGATTCTGGCTCCTTGGGGAGCATAACTGTGATCACACAGAGACTAAGGCAGAACCCCTGGCTTCCAGCCCCATTGGCTCCAGCGGTGGGCAGAGGGTACTGCTGCCTTCCACACCCAAACTGGGTTTCCTGGTCCTCTCGCTAGAGACCTCTCCACAGAGGCAGGAGTGATTATGGATGGACCCACTGAGGACCAGAGAGGTGAGCACCTCCCCTGTATCACCCAGAGAGGTGTCAGTAAATCTCCACTGGGAGCCTGGAATGGCCCCTGCCCAGGATCATGGTTGGTGGTCCTCCATGGTAGGTGCTAGGCCCAGCCCAGTCTAGGGGTGAGGGAGTAGTTCCAGAGGCTTCCTTAGGACCAGCAGTCCCATCGTGGGTCTCTGGATGAATGAGCTTTGGGCTACACACCTGCTCACCAGGCCCTTCCCACCTATGCTCTCCTCCCTCCTCTGTCAGCGTTGGGGCCTTCGTGAAGACCTGGCTGCCCTTCATCCTCCTCCTGGGCATCATCCTAACCATCAGCCTGGTCCTTAACCTGCGGTGATGGCTGCCCAGTGGTTCCGGACCCACCAGGATCCTGAGGAGGCAGCTGCCACCCCTTTTAGTTTCAGAATCTTTCTCCTCACCCTGAAAAGCAGGGAGGGGCCTGCTGGTTTTGACCTGGGGTTCTGGGCTAGGTGGGGTGGGATTGGGGCTAAGAAGGAACATGGGGTGAGAATGTTTGCTTGTTGTGTCTCACTGGCCACCCCCTCCTCCCTGGACTTGTGACCCCTGCCCTTGAGGCATCCTTTTTGTTGGTTGAGAAGGCCGTAGCTTCCTCTGTTTGTAGAGCCCCTCCTGCCCCAGCTGGGCTGCTGCCTGCTGGGCTTCTCCAGCCTCAGCCCCTCTGGCACATCAGGTGTCATTCTTGGGCCCAGTGCTCCACGGGGGAAGGGGAGGGCATTCAGACCCACCTGACAAGGCAGCACCGGAACCAGAGCTGATTTGGAGCCTGCCCTCCTGCCATTAGCTCGGGTCCAGGGGCATGAGGTAACAAGCAGCCTCCATAAGTTAAACGGGCCTGGCTGCGGCTTTCACCATTGGCCTCTGGAATGGTTGAGAGGGGCTGGATGCCACCTGCCCCCGATGTTTGCCAGAAGCTGCACTAGGGGTAGTTAGTGCCTCTGCCCTGGTATCTTCCAGCCCATGCAGCCACCTCTTCCCAGTCTTCCAGGGCCTCCCAGCTCCTTGGGCCCACCTCCCCCTGCAGTTTGGGGCCTGGGCTCCTCCAGCCAGGCAGAGAGGTGAGTGAAGCTGCCATGTGCCAGAGTGACCCCTGTAGACCAGAGTAATGTAAACTTGGCCCAGCCCCAGGTGTGGGTCTCATGGTGGTGATGACGCCTCTGTGTCCAAAGTGTAGGGGGCTATCAGAGCAGCCAGGGCCATCAGGGAGCTGGAGGGGGCTGTTTCCGCCCACCTGACTACAACTCTCCTTCAAGTTGTCAAAAAGGGCCCTGTGCTGCCCACTACACTCCCTGCTCCATGGAGTCCTTTGTGGGGTTCCCTGGGTGGGGCAATAAAGAGTTTTGACTCCAGATGGTGCCCTGTCGTTTTCTCCCTCTCTGTGGTGCCCTGCCTCCTTCTGTGTGTATCTTCTTGGTGTTGGTGGGTTCCTCTACCCCCTGGCAGGCAAGGGGGCTGGTTGCCAGGGTCGTAGTTGAGTCTGCGCTCAGTGCCTGGAGCTCACGGAGACAGCATCCCTCAGGTACATCCTGCTCCTGTGCCCCGGCTGTGGAAATGCTCCACCATTCTCATTCCACATCCACCATTGCACAGCTCTCTGCTGAGGCAAGTGACTATTGAATCCCCTCTCATGTTCCCTGTTGGAAAGAACATGGCAGTAGGATTGGGGGTTGGGCCGAGCAAGGCTGTACTTTCACTGGGCAGACCAGAGCCCTGGACTTGGCCCTCATCCGGGGGTGCACAATTTGAGATAAGCCCCTGGCCCCTGCCATATTTATCTGTCCCACATTGCCAAGTTCATCAAGCTGAACCCCAATGATCGTATCACTGCCCTGCTCCACACACCACCACATCACTGTTGCCCTCAAGTGTGGTCAGTGCGCACCTCCGGCCTTATCGCCCCAGGCACCTACTCACCAGTGAGGCAGGCAGCACCCGTTCTCCAGCACCCACCTGCTTCTGTAGTCCTTGGCTCCCGCCTGCTAAAATCATGACCTTCCCAAGGCCCAGCTTCAAAGCCACCTCAGCAAAGTCTTTCCCAACCCTGCCCTAGTGCCATGTGTCACTTTAGTTGAACTAGCAAAGGATTTTATCTCTGACTTCCCGGGATGGCCCTTCGTGCTCATCCTGAGGATGTCCTCGCCATCTTGACAGACTAGCTTCTGGACCAAGAGCCATCAGCTCCTCCCAGACCCTGTACTGCTGTGGTTTCTAAGCTGGGGTTCTTCCCAGGGCGAGGCTGAGGTATTCCCTCCCCACTTCCAAATGATCCCGTTTTCAAAAATTCGTTTTGCATATTTGGATCCATCTGAGAATTGGTTAGGGGAGAGAGTTTTTCTCCTGAGGGCAGCACACAGCAGGGTGGGAGAAAACAGTTCTAAGGCCTGTCCCAGCCCAGCAGAAGTTAAAATTAACCTGGGGAAGACAGGACATAAACAGGTTCCAGAAACCCACCAACAGTTACTGAGTACTTAACACTATCTGCTAGGCATTGTTTTAAAGTATCATTATTTGTCCTCACCAGAGCCCTATGAGGTAGGTGCTATCATTATCCCCACTTTATAGGTGAAGAAATGAACAGGTAACGTAATTTGCTCAAGGTTACAGAGGTAGAAATAGTGGAACCATGATTCAAACCCAGCAGCTTGGCTTCAGAGCCCCCCCGGCTCAGAGCTTCCGGCCTCATTGGAGCACAAGGAGTGAAAGTGGGGAGAGGCTGTTCCCCAAAGAAGAGAGATGCTACTACCCAAAAGAAGGGAGAATAGGTGCTGGAGACAGGAACTACTGCTTACAGCAGTCCTCTGAGATTGCAGCTACTGTCGCTGTTTATAGAGGAAGACAGTGAGGCTCACAGAGTTTGTCACTGGTTCAAGGCCACATGAGGACCACACTGCAGAGCCAGCATTTTAACCTGCATCTGCTGGCCTCCAGGGCCCCAGCTCAGTGGGGAGTTGCCTAGAGACCAGCCTAAGTGCAGGAGCAGAGAATCATGGGAGGAGGGCCCTAAGCAGGTCCTGGAAGGGGGTAGAGAGGTGTAGGGAGAGGGTTCCAGCCGCTGGAGGAGGGGAGGCACAAATGGACCAGGAGTGTGAAATGGACCAGAAGTAGAGTCTGTAGCTAAGGCTCTGGGGATGTAGGACATGAAGGATGGGCAGAACCAGGGCATCCTGAAGGTGGACTGTCTGGGGAGGTGGTGAGACTTCTGCCAGTGATGTGTAAGGGAGGCTGGATTGGTGTGGAGCAGATTGGGAAGTGGGCTAAAGGGTTACCCTGGTTGTCTACTGGCATCTGCCAAAGCTGAAGAATGACAAACGTGGTGTGTTTAACAAGGCCCTCTGGCGGCCCTCTGGAGAGGCTGAGTGAGGCCGTGACCAGGGAGGAGGCAGCTGAGCAGGGACTGATACCTGGGCAGTGGGAGGTGGGCAGAGATGGGGCAGATGGGCAGCATTTGGTAACTGGCAGGAAGAAGCAGGAGGCCTGGGGACAGGACAAAGGGGGCTATTTACAGAAGTGGGAACTTGGAAAATCAGAGGTTTCATATGGGGAGGGGCCAGATGAACTCAGGTGAAGATGACAGCAGGAGAGACAGATGGGAAGATCAGAGTGGGGACAGTCACAGCTATAGGAAGGATAGGAGAGCAGAGAACAAGGAAATTCAGAAACCTGAAGAGCAGACCACGAAGTGTGATGCCTTCCAGGGGTGAGGGCTGCTGAGAGGTGAGGGGGCCCGGAGAAAACAGCCAGGGAGGAACCAGCCCAGGAGGGTGGAAGGGTTGAGGATGCTCCTGGCCTGGGAGGCTTCACAGAGGAGGTGGTTGGGGGCATCATTGCTCCCACAGTTGGCACTCAGTATATAGTGTATATGTAAACACAAACACACACGTATGTTTATTAAGAGCCTGCAGGGAACTCATTGAATTATAGTGAAAGCCCTCTGAGGAGGGATAATTGCCCCCATTTAACAGATGAGGAAAAAAGAGGCTCAGAAAAAAAAGATTGACTTGCAGAAAATAAATGGAGAGGGCTGGACTTCGGGCAAGGGCTGGAGGACAGACCCCTCAGATGCTCAGGCTGTGGCACCATTCACAAGATGCCAATTCTTATGAGGGGGAAGGAGCAGTGGGGTTTCGTTTAGAGTCCACCCCTTGCCCACCTCCTTTCCCAGGAGTCTGTGAGGTACCGTCTATAATCCATACCTCAGGTGTCAGGCCCTGGGGCGGGGCAGGGCAGGGTAGGCAGCATATAATGAAATAGACTTGGGGAATGAGGAAGCTTTGGCGTGACCTCTGTTCTCAAGACCAGAATGAAGACAGCCCCCCAGTTCATGGTCCCGAAGCAAACGTATTCTAGAACCCAAACCTGCTTTTCTGAGGGTGGGGAGAATCTGGGAGCAGAATGGGGAGTTCAGGGAGTCTCCCTATGGACAGAGGAAGAGTGTGTGGGAGCTTCAGGTGGGGCGCCAGGAGCGTCCAGGCCTCCACAAACCAATGGGGCACAGGGCAGCAGAGGGACAGAGAATGCTGCTCTGCTGTTGCCAGTGCTTCCCGGGACAGGTGTGTGGACACGGAGGGGCAGTGATTGTTGAAATGGCCGTGGGCACTGGACTATGTTGGAGAGGGGTCACCTGGCACCTACTGTATGCCAGCTTGTGCCAGCACTTTCATTTCCCTGGTAGTAGGCTCTTCGGCACTCTGCTACCCCTGATTTGAATAGGAGGAAATTGCAGCTCAGAGAGGTTAAGAGACCTGCTCCAGGTCACACAGGGATGTTACTCAGGGTGGTCTGACTGCAAAGTCTGCAATGCTTCCATTACCCTGGCTCTTAGAAAGTGTTTCTGACTTTGCTTTAGAAACAAGTACCTATCAGCAACTCAGTGGGCAGGGAGGGCTGCTACCCATTCTACAGATGGGGCTGTCAAGACTCTGAGGGGTTGGGGCTACAGAGTGAGTCTACAGTGGAGCTAGGGCCAAAACCCAGGCCTCTACTGCCCATTGAATCCTCTGTGCATTCTCTGAAAGCCTGGGGTGGTGTGTGCCCCCAGGGAGCCATGAGTCCAGGCCTGGTTTTGCATCAGGCCCTGCTGAGAAGGTGTTTCCTCCTTGTTGGTGGGGCAGCTGCTCCACTCTGCTGGGCAGCCTGTTGAGTCAGCCTTAGTCCCTCCAGGTTCTTCTCCCAGTCCCTGAAACTCAGCTGCCAGGGGAGCCGGGGTCATCTACGAAGGTGTCCCCCCATACTGGACCCCTACAGGTAAAACACTTTGGGGCTGGGGTCCCCTGCCAGTGTCCCAAGGGGTGGGTACTGCTGCCTGGTGTCCTGAGCACCTCTGGGACCTTAGGACTTTGGGGTGGGGGAGGTGGGAGTGTCTGGGACTGGAACAGCCGGACAGATGGACAGACCTTAATATTGACCGATGGGTCTGTCCTGTAGGATTGATCCAGAGGAGAGAGGACCAGTCACTTGATTCTGCCCCTGGAGGGAGAGGGAACTGTGGGAAGGGGGTGCTGCTGGGGCCCCTGACCCCAGATGCCCACAGCCCAGCCCAAGCAGACCTGGGCAGAAGAAGAATACCCCCTCCCCCCTCACCTTCACACTCATACACACACACCTGATGGCCCCAGTGGGCCCAGGAACACCAGGGAACACAACACAACACACAGCGCAGTCTCATACAGCACAGGAAGAAATACACACCCACATGGTGCTGTCCCCTAGAGTGTCACAGACACACCACACAATGTAGTCACCCATGCAGCATCGCCCTGTAACATGACACACGGACACACACATACAATATTCATACAAAAAATATATAGGCTTATACAGCCCACAGTACACAGACATGCCTACGATACCCAGACTCACACAAAAGCACAACATAGCACAGATATGAACACGGACTCACACCACAGAAGGAGCCCCAAACTGTGTATTTGTAACACCAGCACTGTGCCTTGAATATAGTAGCTGTTCAGAAAATAGTGGGCATGTTGAACACAGGCAGAGACACACAATATAGACGTGCCTCAATGAGGGTGGGGTGGCCAGGCCAAGGGCTCGGCGGGACACTGACTCAGCCTGGGAGGGTACAGAACACAGGAGCGGTGGCAGCAGGCACAAGCCAGGACCTGCCTGCTGAGCCACTCTCGCCATCTCTGCCGTGCCTGGTGTCCTGGCATGGAGGGCGTGAGAGGAATGAGGAGCAGCAGAGAGACCACCCCATAGGCTCAGGCTACGGCTCTGCTCTGCTCTTGGCCAAGCCATGGGCCCCTTGCCACGTCCACACGCCCCTTGGGGCTGGGCAGATGTTTTCCTTCCGGAGTCACCGTGGTACCTGAGCAGCCGGAGCTGCTTTGCCAGCCCTGGGCCTCCGCTGCCGGGACCACAGCCAAGTCTTGAGCCGGGTGTGGGGGGACCCATTCGACCAGAGCAGAGGGGCCCAGGGGCTCCGGGCAGGAGGACAGGGCAGGCAATAGGGGAATCCCTGAGCTGGAGGACTCAGTGGAAGTGGGAGTGGGTGTAGCGGTTACCTCGGGGCGGGGGGTGGAGGGGGAGGAAGTTGGGGGTGTATGCTGGGGAGGAGGTTGCCTCAGACAGGAAGGCCAAATGGGCCAGGGCAGGGTGGCGGTGAAGGGTGGAGGGAGGGGACCCAGGTTGGGAGGTTCCCTGGGCAGAGGGGTGAGCAGATACATGTGTGTGCAAGTGTGTCTACATGGGTGTCGGTGTGTGTGCATTCCCTATCAGTGTACAAGATTCTCCAGGTGGATTTCTGCATTTAATTAATCAAACTTTTACCAACCACCTGTTATGTGCAAAGTACTGGCTTTGGGGGTGATACCCTGCCCCTACCTTCAAGGAGTTCACAGCCCAAGGTGGGAGTGTGTGCGTGCAGCATGTGCATGTAATAGTCTATGTGATTTGTGTACATCTGGGGACACATATTTGTCCCGGGACTTATTCTTGTGTATGAGAACATATCTTAGGTTCTTGTCTCCATGTGCACGTCCCTGTGTGCAGAGTTAAGAATATGTGCGTGCACATCTCTTGATCTGAGCCTGTGTCTGTGTCTGCATAGCTCTCTCCATGTGGAATGGGCCTGGGTGTGCGCATCCATCTCACAGTTGGTATTTGTGCCTCCAAGTATCAGTGTGTGTGTGGCTGAGTGCTCCACCTCTGTGTCCCACCTCAGGATATATGCATGCGTGTCTCTGTGTGTTCTGTGTTCATGGGCCAGTGGGTGCATGTGTCCATGGGTGCTTCTCCCTTCACCTGACCTCAGCCTTCCGGGGGCGGTGCCCTACTCACCATGTAGGCTCAGTATTGACCTTACTCCTGGTCTACCCCAGGGAGCCACGTGTGCCCAGCTGGGGCACAGCCCCCAGCTGATGCCCCAGAGAGGCCACCCATCTCAAGAGGGGCTCTGCTCTGGGCCGTGCCCTCCCTACCCATGGCGCATGGGCCAGAGCCTGACATCGACAGTCTGCTGGACCTCAGCTTCCTGACAGAGGAGGAGCAGGAGGCCATTGCCGAAGTCCTGAAGCGAGATGCCCACCTGTGCCAGCTGGAGGAGGGGCGGATCAGGTGAGGGAGGACAGACCCTAGCCAGGGGAGCCAGGCAGAAGGGGCTTCAGGCACTGGTAGGCTTGGGTGGCCCCATCCTGCTCCCTTCCACCATGCTGCCTGTCAAATGGCAGAGCAGTTCTCACCTTTGCCCCTTGGTCCCCTCTGCCCTTGGTCAGTTCAGAGCTCACTGTGTCCCCAGAGTGGCTGCAGCAGTTCCCTCACCTGCCTGTCTCCAGGCTTGTACCCTCCAGTCCACTTGCCACACTGCCCTTGACATCCCCTGCTGAAACCTCCTCACCTCCTCCAGCATCGAGGACAAGCTCCTCAGTGTGTCTACAGGGCTTCTCTAATTGGTCCCTGTCAGCCTCCCCCACCTCATCTTTCACCAGTAACCCCCACTCCCAGTATACAGGTACTTGTGTGTATATAAAGTACACATGACAGCCGCTCTGTGCTCCACAATCCCTGAACTTCCAAGCCTTTGCTGTTCCTCCTGGAAGAGCACGGTGGCTGAGGAGCATGGGAGTTGTAAGTAGGGTTTAGGGATTTTATCCAACCTCCACAAGCACAATCTCTTCATCTGTAAAATGTAGTTAAGAAGTCCTACCTCATAGAATTAAGAGGGATTATGCAAGTGTAGCCCATGAACAGTAATTATTATCCTTCTCTACCTGAAGAACTCCAATTTGTCCTTCAAGAAGCAATTAAAGCACTGCCTCTTCTGGGAAGCCCTCTGGATTCCCACAGGCAGAGCTGCCCCCTCTCACGTACATCACAGCACCTGCCACGCAATAGTTTACTTTTCTATTCTGGACTCAGTCTCCTCACAAGCCCGAGCACCTCCAAAGCAGGGATCAAGTCTAATTGCTATTGTGTCCCTGGTATAGGGACTGGCGCAGAGTGGGTGGCAGAAATGTTGGCGAGTGAATGGTGATAACCATGCCCTGCCTTCCCCCTACCCATCCTCCAGCAAGCTTCGGGCCTCACTGGCAGATCCTGGGCAGCTGAAGACCCTGACAGGTGACTGGTTCCAGGAAGCACGGTCCCAACGGCACCACCATGCCCACTTCGGCTCTGACCTTGTCCGAGCCTCTATCCGCTGGAAGAAGAGCTCCAGGGGTGAGAGGAGACCCCCAGGGCAGGGTAAGGCACAGCAGGCCTCCTGTTTCATGCATGTGGACAGGGAGAGGGTACCCCTGGGTTCTGGTTGTGGCATCCCCCTGGTACTGTGTGTCTTGGCGTGGGGGGGCATTGCCCCTCCGTGGGCTGCAGGAAGTGAGTGGGCACCTCCAAGGACCTCTCCCGAGAGTCACAGCCAGACTGCCTGAGAAAGGGGCTTCACAGATTTGTTACCTTGGCCCAGGTGAGCAGGCTCTGGGCAGTGATGGCAAAGCTGAGGTTTCTGGAAAAGAGAAAGAAGAGGAGCTGGAGCCCAGGTGAGGAGGCACTGTGGGGAGCGCATGGAAGGTGCCTACCAGTCATCTGGGTTCCTTCCCCTGACAACTACCTCCTCCCGCTTCTAGGCTCCCCATAGACGAGGTCCCTCAAGAGAGGCTGAGCGAGGCTGAGGTGAGTAATGAATGACTGCATGAGTTAATGAATGAATACAGTGCCACTGGAGTGGAGCTAAGATGTGCTGGGGAAATAGCTCCAGCCTAGGAATCAGGAGACTTTGGACACACACTTTCAGGGTTCTGGGTCTCAGCTTTTGTGAAATGGTGGTATGGACCTGGCCTCTAAGGGAAACTATGAATCTGGCTCTCAAGGGTGAGGTCAGAACAGAGCTGGACAAGGTCCAGGATCAGATACTACGGCCGCCTCAGTGGAACCCTGGGAGTTAGGCAAGACAGGCCCTAAAATGTGAAGGGGTGTGAGTACAGGCCCAGCTGGTCCCACAGCTGGCTTCCAGCCATGCCTAAAGGGCTGAGCTAAATCCAAAGATGGAGCCTCTGACCCCTGGCCTCATGGTGACCCTTGATCTCTTCCTCACTAGCCCCCACTGGTAACCTCTACCCCTTGCTTCCTACAGGGACCTGATTTCCCCCCACCATCTGCCCCCCTAAAGGCTTCTGATTATGAGGAGGAGCCTAAGGCCCAGGAAGGTGAGTGACAGGGTATGTGGTGGTGGGGGGGCGGGGGACATAAAGAGGTTGCCGGGGATCAGAGGCAGTTCTATGTGACCTCAACCGCATGTGTTCACCTTTCTTCTCCCGCGTCGGGGAAGCCCCGTGTGGTCTCGACCTCAGGGCAGCACTAGGGCCCGAATTTGCAGGTCACCAGGGTTGTAAACCAGTCCCTCCAAATGTGCTCAGGGCTGGCAGGTACGGTGCCCGCTCAGCAGCCTATGCTCCGCCCCAGCCCCCAGCTCAGGGGGCGTGCAGGTCTACGCAGAAGAGGCGGACCCGGAGCAGTCTTCGCCGGGAGAGAAGGAGCCGCGGCTGCCGCCAGCCCAGGTAGGCGGGAGCGGCCAGCGGCTGCTCTCAAGACCCGGAGCGGATATCTGGCCCGGGAGTGTCCCTGCCCAGGGCTCTGAGCCGTCCGGCCCGAGCGCGGTCCCGGGAGGGGCGGGAAAGAGGGGGCGCCCTGGTCACTTTCTCCCCTTTCCAGGCGGAGGCAGCGTCCGAGACCCTGGAGAACGGGGAGGAGGCCCTGGGGCCCGACCCCTCACTCGACCGCATGCTCAGCAGCAGCTCCTCGGTGTCCAGCCTCAACTCCTCCACGGTGAGGGTGTGAGGTGGCAGGCCTGGGGGGAAGTGGGCGCCTCCTCCCCACATCCCGACGCGTAGCCCCTGCCTGACTCTGCCCTCGCCCCTCGGACCTGACGCTCCCGCATCTAACACAAGTCACCTGGCGGTGCCCTTCACCTCGCTTTACACCACCACCCCCGCCCTGGTCTGAATCCTCCGCGCTCCCCTCGGGCCCGATGTGACCCCCACCCTCCGCCTGCAGCTGAGCGGCAGCCAGCTGAGCCTGTCCCGGGAGGCAGAGGCGGGAGCGGTGCAGGTGCGTGGCTCCGTGCACTTTGCGCTGCGCTATGAGCCGGGAACCTCGGAGCTGCGCGTGCACGTGATCCAGTGTCAGGGCCTGGCCACGGCCCGGCGCCGCCGCTCCGACCCGTGAGTCCCGGTCCGGGGAAGGGGGTCGAGGGAGCCGCATTCACAGCCAACCCCAGCCACTTACCCTTCCCTGGCTTCAGTTTTCCCATCTTCAAAATGGGAATAACAATGGTACCTACGTTGTTGGGAGGCGTAGGGATTAAGTGAGAACTCACGTAAAGCGTTTATCGCTTGGTCTGGCACACAGAAAGCTGTGTTCCGGTGGTGGCTGGGGAAGCCCCCAGGGCAGGGGAGTAGGAGCTGGAAGGGCCCCTTCTTATCTCCGGACCTCACGTCCCCCGCCCCAGCTACGTCAAAAGCTATCTCCTCCCGGATAAGCAAAGCAAGCGCAAGACGGCGGTGAAGAAACGGAATCTGAATCCAGTCTTCAATGAGACTCTCCGGGTGAGGCTGCGGCAACGGGCAGCCCTCCATTAATGAACAGGATAACTCTTCCTGAGTGGGGCTGGGTGGCAGGGATGGCCACATAATATCATTGCCCGTCGCTCCACTGCTCCCTTCTACCCCAGGAATGGCAAGGAGGCCCTCCCATTAGCGCGTGCTCCCAGTACGTTAGTCTTGTGGTGGGCGTGGTGATAGTCGCGACCCCCTATAACGCCCTTCGGGGCTCCTCAGGACTCCATCCTGCAAGGAGGATGGTAGGACAAACCCCAGTCAACACTCCCGCAGCACGGAAGCTGGGGTAGTCAGCTGTGCTCCATTAACGCGCACCTTCTGTTCCCAGTACTCCGTCCCGCAAGCCGAGCTCCGGGGCCGCGTACTGAGTCTGTCCGTGTGGCACCACGAAAGCCTAGGTCGCAACATCTTTCTGGGCGAAGTCGAAGTGCCCCTGGACACGTGGGACTGGGACTCTGAGCCCACCTGGCTCCCCCTGCAGCCCCGGGTGAGGCAGCCCGGCCCGGGTGAGGGGATCTGTGGCACAGGTCTTACCCTACTGGGCTTTCCCCCAGACCCTCTCAAACTCCGCCTTCGACAGAGCCTCCCCTTGGCCTCTCAACCTTATGGCCTATCCGAAGGCCTGATCCCAGATAGCCCCTTGCTTGGGGCGCTCAGATCCTTCCCGAACTGCAGACTACTCTCTAGCGGCTCTCTGGAGGCCCGGCCCTACTGGCTCCGCCCTCCCTGCTAACTACACCCGTTGGTTCTCTGGAGACTCCACCCTCTTTTATAGGCCTTGTCCCGCCCCCCCTGACGAGTCCACCTCCCGCAGGTTCCGCCCTCCCCCGACGAGCTTCCCAGCCGTGGGCTGCTCTCTCTGTCCCTCAAGTATGTCCCCGCGGGCTCCGAGGGTGAGTGACCGCCCCGCGAGACCCCAAGCTGGACGGACGCCAGGAGGCGCAGGGCTCCTATCACGCGGGGGAGAGGGGTCTGTCAGTGGGGCGGGGCTGAGCGGAGCATCTCCGCAGGCGCAGGACTGCCCCCGAGCGGGGAGCTACACTTTTGGGTGAAGAATGCTCAGGACCTCGTGCCACTGCGCTCAGGATCCCTGGATACTTACGTACAATGGTGAGGGGCACTGGGACCTCGCCGCTGCCTTTCCCTTCGCTTGCAATGGAGCTCCCAGCCTCCTACTAACCCCTTCAAATCATCCTATTCCCCAGTCTGGGCTTTAACCACCGAGCAGAGGTGAAGGGAACGGCTTGGGCAAGGGCCTGGAGTCAGGAAAGTTTAGGACACCTTTGGGGAGCTGTGTTCCGGTGTGACTGGCAGCTATATGACTGGTCACAAGGCTGAGATTGAGACTGGGGGAGGGTTGCAGGGGCACCTCCATGGAGAGCCTGGAAGGCTAGGCTGTGGGGCTTGGCCCTGAACTTATAGTTCAGTGGTTTTCAAAGTAAGCTCTGGAGAACTCTAAGGGTACCTCCAGGTGCTGCCCTACTCTCAGAAAGTGAAATCGAGTTAGGCTGATCAGGTTCTGGGTTCCCATTCCTAATTCAACCAGAAACACTCTGCTTATGAACAATATTTGATTTTACAGAAGCGGATCCAAGGCTTCAGAAAGTTCGGAAACTACTTCTGGGGGGCAACAGAGAGCCAGTGAAGGTCATTGAGCCAGGGAGTAGCTGATTTGCATTTCAGAAACATTACTCAGATATCCCGTGAATAAGAGTTGAGACTAAAGGCAAGACACCCAAAAGGAGTCTGGTGCAAAGTTCCTGGGTCAGTGACGGTTCAAGGCCAGATCTCAGACAGGAGCCAGGGGACATGGACATATGTGAGGGAGAATGGGTAGGACTCAGTGACTGGGTGGCTCTGGGGGGTGTGAGGGAGTGGCCACCTGATGCCAGTTCTCCCCCCCACCCCAACAGCTCCGTGCTGCCAGATGACAGCTGGGCCAGCCGCCAGCGGACAAGGGTGGTGCGCCGCAGCCTTAGCCCGGTGTTCAACCACACCATGGTTTATGATGGCTTCGGGCCCTCAGACCTGCGCCAGGCCTGTGCTGAGCTCTCCCTGTGGGACCATGGGGCCCTGGCCAGCCGCCAACTGGGAGGCACACGCCTCAGCCTAGGCACTGGTGAGTGAGGCAGGGCCTTGGAGGGAGCCAGTGCTGGAAAGCAGGGGCTCAATGTGTGGCCTTGGACACTTTCTGCCCTTTCTGGAGCTTTGGTGTCCACTGGGAACTGGGAGTGACTGGGCACAGCACATAATCTAAGACCAGGCAGGTGTTTCTTGGGACCTGGGGTATCTAATGTGATGTGCTTTCCACCCTGGCCTGCCCACATCCAGGCAGCAGCTACGGACTCCAGGTGCCCTGGATGGATTCCACACCTGAGGAGAAGCGGCTATGGCAGATACTTCTGGAGCGGCCATGTGAGTGGGTAGATGGCCTTCTGCCCCTCAGGACGAACCTGGCTCCCAGGACGTAGCTGCTCCAGAAGTCCCACCATACCCCTCTCTCTGTACCCCCATCTCAGGTTCTACCCTTGGCTAGAGTCAATAAAGTCTGTTCTACGGGCAACAAGGGGCTGATGTCTGCTGGAGGAGAGGGTGACAGCAGGAGACAGGGAAGTGAAGGGGGCTTGGGACAGATGAAGGAACTTCAGACTCAGACACAAACACCTCAGGGGGCTAGTCCCAGCATACCCATACCCATACACCTCAAACGTCACCAAGACAAGGGTACAAAAACGTTTTGTTTAATAGTCTGCCTGGCAGTGCTCAGTGTGCTTAGGGTGCCTCTGTAGTTGGTTCCCTCCATAGGAGATGGGCCTAGGCCCCACCAGGCCTCCTCCACTTGCCCCTAGGTCATGGTGTGGGTGTGTCAGAAGCTGCTTGTGTCTTCTGCATTCATCCATCCTTGCGTCTGGCCTTCCGCCTCTGATGGCCTCATTCAGTCTCCCGGAGGCCAGGGGTGCCTGGCGCAGCTCCTGCTCGCTGCTCCAAGATGGCTCTCCAGATGCGGCACACCATCCCTCCCCTGGGGGTAGCAGGCTCAATGCGGCTCCACCAGAAGAAAGCCCTGGGCTCTTTCTGGTACCCACTGTCTGCCTGATGCCCCTTCTGCCCCAAGGGACCCTGTGGTTCCCAGGGAGGAACCTGGGCAGACCTGCAGCTAGGGGCCAGGTTCTGGCCAGCATTAGGCCATATGCCTGAGTCAGCCCTGGAGGGCCCAGGACATACCTGATGCGGGTGTAGATGAGGTCGTCTCGAGTGACAGAGGTGAGCAGGGCACGGAGGGTGAAGGTATGGTTCAGCAGCTGGTTGTGGACAAAGAGCGGAAGAGAACAGGGTGAGATAAAACTAGAGAAAGATGTGTGCAGAGACACAGGTACTTGCTCCCTTCTACTGTTGGGGCAGAGGGGCAGAGCTCCCCTTTCTGGGCCTCAGGTGTCTCATCTGTACAATGAGAGGGTTAAATGCTCTTCTAGTATTGAGATCCTCTGCTTAAGAGGGAGGAAGTGAGAAGAAAGATGACACAGATAGGGGTCCTTGGTTGGTGGGGTTGTCAGAGATAGCCAGCATCCTGCCCCTCACCGTCTGGATGGTGCCAGAATCCACACTCAGTTCCTCCAGCCACTGCACCAGGCCCTGGTCCGCCGGGAAAGCAGCTGCCGAGAAGTCAGGTGGTGAGCCTATGGCTCGCCTGCCAGAAGCTGCCTCTCCCAACATTCCTGTTCTCCAGCCAGGCCCTACTCACCTAGGCGCTCAGAGGCCAGGGGCCGGGTCCTGGCCTCCCCATCCACCTGCTGTAGAGCCCGTTGCATCAGGGCCTGACACTCTCGTTCCTTCTCGGCCAGGACAGCTCGAAGCCTAGTGGAGGGCAGAAGGCGAGTAGAATGCAGTGGGGGTGAAGCCGGCACAGAGGCTAAGGGTGTTCCGAGGCGCTTTACCTATTAGTCTCTGCCCGCAAGAGGCCCAGCTGCACCATCAGAGGCGGGGGTCCCTGCTCAGGATCCTTCGGGAGTGGGTTACAATGAACAGGGGTCTCCTGTTGCTTCGTCTGGGACCCCTTTTCTTTACTTGGCTCCTCTGACAGCGGGGAGACTACGTCCTTCTCCATCTCTGCTAATCCGAGTACGATGAGCTCAGACAGGCGAGAACACCCATTTGGGGCCCCTAGACACTGGCGGGGGACTGCTGGTGCAGGGCTGCTCTGCGCGGTTCAGGACTCCGAGAAGCCCTTTGGCCACGCCCCCACCGGCTTCCGCTTGTTGGCCACGCCCCTTCTGTAGCCGGCCCCACCGACCACGCCCCCTACCAGCTCCACTCCATATTTGCCACGCCCCCAAGAGTCACGCCACGCCCTCGCCGGCAGGCAGGTAGGCGCTGCTCTCCCTCCTACCCGGGCCTAGCACTGCCAAGGCTGCCCGTACAGCGCGACTAAGCAGCGAGTCCAGCACGAACATCCAGTGTGGGCAGATCTGGCGCCTGCGGAGGATCTGCTTCACCTGGAGAGGGAGGAAGGGCGCTGCTGAGTGGGCTGGGCCTCAAATAGGAGTGGGGCTTGAGTTGAAAAGGCCTAGGAGGTCTCCTGAGAGAAATGGGGTGGGCAGGCTAAGGAAGGAGCTGGGAAGCTAGGAGTAGGTAGATGTTCCTTTCCATCTTCACGGAGGAGACACGGAGTCTTGGAACCTAAATCCTTGCACATTCCTAGGCACTGGGAGCTCACTACCTCTTATTGAACTGCCCTGTGTGAAAAACTGTCAGCGAAAAAGAGGAAGACCCTTAAGGAGACGGATTTACACAGAGACTGCAACAACGGGCTCAAACATGGCAACGACTGTGAGGATGGCCCAGGAGCCGGCGGTGTTTCCTTCTGTTGTACACAGGGTCGCTATGAGTCGGAACCACTTGGACGGCACTTAACAACAACCTGACAAACTGTGTGAAAGCTCTCCTCACCGCATCCGAGAAGGCAAAGAGTGGTCCTTGAAGAAGCACAGGCCCAAGGCCCTGGGCCCGCAGCTGCCTTTGTAGTGCCCGCAGGTCCTGGGCCAACTGCCGGCGGTTGGGAGTGTGGATATGTGCCCCGAGGCAGCGCAGTAGCTGTTCCACCTGACTCCTGCCAAGCTGAGGACCCTGAGAACGAAGAAAGGGGTCACAGGCGAGTTGTCCCCACCGAGAGCGAAAAGAGACGCTGTGGAGAAGGCTTCAGCGGGAGGCCTGCCCCTGCTCGACCACCAGGGGGCGCCGGGGCGGGCCGCCGCACCTGTTCCTGCTCCAGGCGCAAACTGTCAGCCAGCACAGACAGCTCCTGCTCCAGCACACTGGCCAGCATGGCCCGGCGCTTGCTCTCTTGGTGAAGCAGGCTCAGCCCCGAACTCTCCTCAGGGGATGGGGGCTCCTCGGCTCCGGACTCCTCGGGCACCCTGAGTGCATTGGGATGTAGCTGACGGAGGGCGGGGCAGCAACACCTTTCCGCCACCTCCGCCACAGGGTTTGAATCCTGGCTCTTTTACTTTAAGGCCTACCTCACAGGGATAAAAGAGATAAACCAGGCACTGAGGGGGCATAATAAATACAAGTTAGAGCATCTGATGGAAGGCACAGGTGGGCACCAAATGCCATCCTTGCAAGTGGTCAAGGTGCCCAGATCCCCAAGGAGAGATTTTTCTGGAGGGGATACAACGGCAAAACCAGGCTATAGGAACCCACCCAGGACCCTGTGCTCTCACCGGAGCTGGCTGGTGCCCCCGTAACTGAAGCAACGCTTTGGGGGGCTGGGCAGGTGCTGCGAGGGTGCCTGAGGGCACGGGAATGTCTGGGACTGGGTGGTTGAGTCAGCTGAGGGAGTGGGGCAGGCTGAAGGGATATCTGAGGGAGGACAAGGCTGTCAGCCTAGGCCACCCCCCCATCCCTGTCACCTCCATAGCTCCCCTGCCCTCGCTCCAGTGTGCTCACTCCCTCCACCCTTGTATGTAGCACCTGAGGGCCGTGGAGCATAGCGAGGGGAGCTGGGGCTGCGGCTCTTCTTCCCAGGCTGCAGGAAAGGGTCCCCCAACAGAGCTTGGGCACTGGCTCGGAGGAGGGGGTCTGGCTCAAAAGTTCGGAGGAGGAAGTCTTGGGCCTCAGCCGACAGAGAACTGGGCATTGGCGGATGCACCTTGTACATGCCCACCTGGGGGAGTCAGGGAGGGCAAAAAAGATAAAGCTAAGAGATATTCAGGGCCCACTCTGGCCCCACCCTACCTTTGAGGGCTAGGTCTCACCTGAAACATGGCAGCCTGTGGGCTCCCTAGCTCATAGAAGGGTGGGCGACCTGTGGCCATCTCAATTACAGTGCAGCCCAATGACCAGATGTCGGCTGCCTTCCCATACCCTCGTGGGCCTTGGTCAATGATTTCTGGGGCCATATACTGCAGGGTTCCTAGGACAGGACCAGGAGCAACAATGTCCATCTAAGCTTTATCACTGCAGGGGGCTCCAGGGCACCCACTCTGAACTCCATCATCCCAAATAGATTCCATCACCTACCCTGGTTGTCAAACATCTATCCTGAGTTTCATCACCCACCCTAGGCTCCATCACCTGCCAAAGCTTCCGTTACTCATCGTAGGTTCCATCACATTCATAGACTCTGTCACCCACAGTAGGGTCCCATCATATACCCTGAGATCTATCACCCATTTTGGCCTCCAACACCCACCTTGGCCTGTATCAACACCCCTGGGCTCCATTTCAGGCACTGAACTCAACTTCATCACCTATCCAAGCTCCAAGTCTAGATTCCATCACCCCACTCCTGATTCAATCATCTGCCCTGGGTTCCATCCCCCATGAGGACTCTAACTCAATGCCCAGGAAAAACCTCATTCCCTGGAAGACCCCAAGAGTTCTTTCGCCCCAGTCAGCATCCCCACTCACCACCCCCACACCTTGTTACCTGTAAAGGTCTCAGTGCAGGGTGTGATGCCTGCCAGCCTCTTGGAGGTGCCAAAGTCAGAAATCTTGAGCAGCCCACTGAAGGTGTTGATCAGCACATTGTCCCCCTGAGCAGAGATGTCCCTTCAGCCAGGCCCTCTCTCAGCTGACTAAACCACCCAGTCCCAGACATTCCCATGCCCTCAGGCACTCTCTCAGCACCTGCTCAGCCCCCCAAAGTGCTGCCTCAGTGAACAATAGGCTGGGCCCCTGACACCAGAACTGGACCCCACCCTAGGATACTATCTCCTGGGGATCCTAGCCTGGCCCTGCCTCTATCATCCTCCTCCTCCTGCCATCCCACCTACATGCCCCTCTGGGAGCTGATACCTGGCCTGGCTTCAAATATGAGCATGTCTTCTACTTCTCTAAGTAACCTCCCTGATGAATTACCCACGCTTTGCAAAGGGTCTGCCTGGTTACTCTCAACTGCCAGCATCTGTCTAGGGCTGTCTCTCCCCACCCCTACCCTAGTCCCCACCACCAGCAGGCCAGGGTGGGCCAGCCATAGGGTTTACCTTGATATCCCGGTGCACGATGCGGTTGTCATGCAGGTAGCTGAGTCCCTGCAGTATCTGGCGGGTATAGAAACTGATGGTGCTCTCGTTGTCCTTCAGGGGTCCCCACACTGACCGCAGCAAGGAGGAGAGACTGCCTGGGCAGATACAATCCAAGTTCATCACTGGCACCCACTTGCTCCAGCCCACAGCTCTATGCTCATGGTCCAGGCACATCCATGCCATGGCTCAGATTCCACCATCCAACCCCACTCCTTCAGTTAATTCTAGGCTGAGAGATTCATTTCCCCCTAGGTTTTCCACCCTTCCTGGCTCCACTCCCAGGCCCCACACTTAGGGTTCCATTCCTAGCCCACGCAGGGTAGGCACCTCCAGGCACTTCCTCCATGAAGATCTTGAGGTAGCCGCCCTGGCTGGCTGAGCCCAGATAGCGCACAATGTTCTTGTGTCGCAGGCGTTTGTGCAAAGCGATCTCTTTATGCAGGGGCTGAGAGAACCTGGAGGAGGCAGTGGAGGAAAAAATGGGACAGGTTTGGGCAGAGATGCTTACCCTGTTCCAGCACCAGCCAGGCCGCGCCCCCAGAGCCCGCCCCGCTCACAATCCCTTTCCTACCCATATCACCCCGCCCACAGGCCGCTTCATACGGTAACCCGCCCAATCGGCCTGGACCCCAGGCATCCCGGGTGCCCCCGCCTACAGCCCCGCCCACAGGACTCTCTAACTTCGTGGTCCCGCCCATTTGACCCGACCACGTGGATCCTCGCGTGCCCATAGCCCAGCCTGTAGGCCCAGTGTGCCGCACCTGCTGTCCCGCTCCGGGATCTCCTTGATGGCGATGCGCACTTTCGTGTGTCGTTCGCGGCCTGCGTACACCACCCCATACGTGCCCTTGCCCAGAACCAGCCGTTCACCAGTCTCTGAATACTCATAGTCAAACTGCGGGGGGCGGGGTGAGATGGTGGTTAGTATGGCCCTCCGCCCTTCTGCCTCCTAGAGCTCCCAGTCTCACTTCCTCACCTCCAGCACCTCCCCCACGCCCTCCGCCTCTTCCGCGGGCGCCGTGGAATCCGGATTGGTCACCGAGGTCTGGATCAGGCTGCAGAACCTGGGGGTGGGGGAGGTCAGGCAGGCAGGAGGGGTACTTTGGGCGGGAACCGTCCCCTCCCATGCCAGGAGCACCTAGGAGACATCGCCCTTCCTTTCCCTCACTCCCGAGCATCCCTGGCGCCCAAAGTACCCCGCGCCGAGAGGCTGCGCGCACCACTGGCAGTGCCCTACGCTGGGAAAGCACAGCTGGACGTCCTGAGCCGGGGGAAGCGCGTAGAGAAAGCAGCAGCGCTCGTCTCGCTTGGAGGTGCTGGGAAGGAACGAAGAACCTTAGTAAGCGCCAGCCAGCTGGCAGCTCCGGCCCCGTCCCGATCCAGACCGCCCACAGGCCCCACCTCTCACCTGACGCCGCAGATCGACGGGACTGGGAAAGTCCAGCTGGAGGGCGCGTCCTGCAGGAAGAAAGAGAGTCGGGGCGGGGGGGCAGTGCTGGGGTCCAGGAGAGGGGCCTGGGGATGGGAGAAAGGCTCCAGGGAAAGGTGCGTAGTGGCAAGTGAGGGTACCGAGCAGCAACTTCACCTGGGTCTCTGACTCCAGCAGGCTGAGAGTCACAGCGCTCACTGGGTCTGTACCCCGAACCTCGAGCCTCGCGGGCAGCAGCACCTTGTTCAGCTCCAGGACCAGCACCTGCGGGCAGTGAGGGAGAGGGGTGAGAATGTGCCGCCCCTCTCCCAGGTCCCCTACCCCAATGGAACTTACCAAGCACTGGTCCTCTTGCAGAGAAGCAGGCTTGAACGGCTTGCAGGACTGTAGCAAGAAGTGGAGCCAGAAGTGGGCGCGGCGCGGGGGCCCTCCGAGGGGCTCCGGGGTGGGTCTGAAGTGCTGATAGAGCAGGAATGTTTCCATCACCGACACCAGGTACCTGCAGGCACAGCCTTGTCCTCAGCTCAGCCCAGGCACCAGCTAGACTGCCAGGGAGAGGAGACTGGCTTGGATGTAGCCAGAATGTGGTAACTGGGTGCCCTGGGCACAGGCCTTAAAGGGACCAGGTCATTAGCTCAGGTCTCAGGCTAGAGTGCTAGTGGACATGGGTGCAGGACATGTCAACAGCCCAGCACAGGCCAAGACCTACCATATAGGGGCATTGAGCTTGTACAGCTGCTCTGCAGCCAGCACCACCTGGGTGGGTTCATTGGCGAGGATCTGGGCTCCCAGGTAGAAGCCTACATCCCAGTAATATTGCATCTTCTCCACACAGCCTTTGTGGGCCAGCAGGCAGCCCAGCTTCATGCCTGGGGGAGAGGGGCACAGACCCCAGTGAGTATAGGTGCAGGTGTGGGCAAGGCCAAGATATGGGACACACCAGTCATGTGGGCATGAACACAGATATGGGTAAAAACTTAGGAGGGGGCAAGATCTCAGGAAGAAGTCAGAGCTCAGGCACAGGTGAGGGTTTAGGGACAACTATATATGGAATTCGGTGTGTAATGAATACAGGTGTGACCTTGAGAACAGGTATGGGCTCAAGGGCATGTGAAAACACAGGACAGGTATGAGGACCCAGATGTGGGTACAGAAGGGGATGAGCTCAATCCCAACCATGTTCTCCCTCCTTGCCTTTTTCCCAGGCCTCTCTGAGCCCTGGCTGGCAGGGATACAGGGGAGCCAGGATCAGGACCCACCTATAAGCCGGAGCTCCTCAGAGTCCTCAAAGCGCTGCCCAGCAGCAATGAGGAGCACAGCTGCATTGATGCCCGAGTGGAGGCTCGGCTCCACATCAAAGGCTTTTCGATACCTGGCAGGAGGAGGGGAGGCAGGAAGGGACACAGGCTGGACTGATGCCCACAGGCCCATCCCTCCTCCCTCAGCTTAGCTCACTGCCCACTCGCTTGTGCCCCTTACCAGTGATAGGCCTGCTCCCGGTGCCCAGCATTCTGGAAGCCAGAGCTGAAGAACATGTCTTTATAGACACGGCCACACAGGCAGTACAGGTCAGGTGCCACAGAGCCCTCAGACTGTACCAGTGGCAGCAGCACAGCCAGTGCCTTTTCACGGTCCCCAGGCCTGTTCCTCCTGGCAGCAGAGGAAGATGGGCTGGGGAGCCCCCTGATGCTCCTGCCCCACCCTGTCCAGGGACCACCAGACCCTGGACACCAGGGACCCTTCCAGAGGCTTGTTAATAATGACCCCAGAATGGCAGTGACCCTGGGCAGCCCTGACCTCTCAAGAGGCAGTGACCCTAGATGGAAGTGATTCCTCACTGTAATGACTCTGAAGATCAATGACCTTGGACAACGGTGACCACTCCAGGGGCAATAATCCACCCCCCAGGGCATCAGTAACCCAGAACAACAGACCTTTTGACATCAGTGACCCAGGTCAGCAAATTCCCTGAACAGCAGTGATCCCAGACAGCAATGACCTCACACAGCAGAGACCCAGACCACAGAGACCCCCATGTGGCTATGATTGAGCTTTGCTCTGCCACTCACCGGTTGAGGGCAAACGTGTAGTGGAAGCAGACATTATGCTGCTCCGCCACATCACAGGTGGGCAAGGCCTGCAGTGTCTCCACCAGCTCAATGATAGCTGAGTAGTCCTGAATGAGGGGCAGCAAGCACTGGCATGATGGCCTGTGGGGACTCCTTTGGCCCCCAGCTCCAGAGAAAAACCTTGATCCTGGGCCTCTTCCCCTTACTTTTCCACCCACCTCTTGCACACCACAGGACAGCAGACACCACACATTGCATAGAGCACCCACTGTGTGCCCTAATCTCACAACTGCTGCGCGTGGCAGGGCCATGATCACCCCCTATTATAAATGAGGAAACTGAAGCTCAGAAAGGTTAGGTAATTTACTCAAAGCCCCCACTGAGTAAATGGCACAGCCAGGAGCTGAACTAGGGTTTGTCTGACATCAAATGCCTGCATAGCAGTGACCTGGGACAGCTGTGACCACTGCCCCGCTGCCTCTCTGTGCACCACACACCTGCACATCGCGGTAGGAAAGCAGCAGGTTCATGACGATGTCGGGGCTCAGCAGCTCCACGCTGTCCAGTCTCCGCTGCAGGCGATCCAGCTCCTGCCGGAGCTGCTGCCCACTGAACCGCTCCCGCGCCTGCCGGATGTCCTGCCGAATGGTTTCCCGGAAATAGCCACTGGTGCCAGGGCAGGGGAGGGAGAAGAGAGAATGGCTCCGCCTGCCTCTCAGCCCCAGCCCACTATACTCTCACCAGCCCCCTCCTGGTGCCCCGCCCTGTAGGTCCCCCATTACCAAGAGTCTGTGGGTGTGGCCTCCAACAGGCGGGCCAGACGGCCTACCAGCGGTGTAAGCAGGGCCTCAGTGCCCACCCCTGCCTGCACCAGCCCATCAGCCAGGCCCTTCAGGACACCTGCATCACCACACAGCACCCGACCGGTGGCCGTCACCACATAAGGGATCAGTGTGTAGCTGCCAACACAATCCTGGGGGGAGGGGGTCAGGGATTAGTGGAGGTCAGAGGTTAGCACAAGGTTAGGGAGGTGCAGTGAGGGGTCAGAGGTTAGCATCAGTAGGGATTGGAATAGCAGGGAAGGGGTATACTTCATGAAGGGAGGTAACAGGGAATAGAGGATCACATAGGAAATCGGGGGCATCAAGGAGGTTAGAGATGACTGAGGAGGACAGAAATGATAGTGGAGGTCATAGGTCACTGTGGAGGTCAAAGGGCACATTGGAGGGGGGGTGAGTTCTGCTCACCGAGTTCTTCTGGAAAACATCCTCCTGTAGGAGGCAGAGAGTCAGATAGTGGTGTTCTGGGTAGGCCCCACCCCAACCCTGTGACTACTTCCACCAGCCAGCCACCTGGCCACCTACCCGCAGCGCCTGTAGGTCAGGGAGGTCGGCCTGAGAGCAGAGGAGCACATTGTTGGTCATGCTGAAGCTCTCCCGCACACCGAGGTGATAGAAGAGGGAGGGCTGCACCAGGGAGCTGCTCACCTCCAGCACCACCACGTCTGTGGGCACAGAGGTGGAGGCCCTGGAGCTTGGTGGGAAAGAGCCTGGGATCCATGCTGGCTCACCCTGCCTTTCAGTGTGACTCTAGCAGGATGCAAAGCCTCTCTGGGCCTCTGTTTCCCCCTTTTATGGCCCCTCTCTCTGGCTCTTACACACAACTGATATCTGTGGTGTTGAAGGAGAGGAGTTGGGCTCACTGGCCCCTGGCCCCTTGAGGAGGGTGAGACCCAGGCGTGCCCCTTATCCCACTGTTCAAAGCCTGTAGGTGCCCACAGCTGGGGCAGTTATGCACCACCCCAGAGCTGTTCCGTGTCATTGGAGAGGCAGGAGCTGTGCAACCACAGAAGTCCCGTCCCCTGGGCCCTCAACCCAGCCTCTTGAAAGGGGTCAGCACCAGCACTGTGTAGACAACGGTGTGCCTGTGTCTGTGTATATAGCTGTGTCCGATCCTATCTCTGTGTGTGACAGTGTCTGTGAGACCTGGTGGGTGAATATATATATCTGCGATTCGTAAGTCTATGCAGGACTGTGGGTGCGTCTTTGTGTCCTCGGGATCGGGACAGCGTTCTTTTTTGGGCAACGACTTCATGGACATCTGCAAACACGGTTCTGGACTCTTGGATGAAAAAATAAGCATTGGAGGGCGGGGCGTCCTAGTTAGTGGGAGGGAGGGGTGACCGCGCGGGAAAAGCCGTCTGTCCGGCCCCGCCCACTCTCCTGGGGCTGCTGGGGCCTCACGACTTAAACTCCCTTGCCCACAGCCGGGGACTCATGACCTAATCTTCCTTGCCCAGACTCTGGTATCCTTGAGATTCTTCCCTTCCCTTTATGCCTCTCTAGCCGGATCCTTGGAAGTCACATGCTAAACCCATTGGTGTTGATTCCGACTCAGAGCGACGCTAGAACAGAACTGCCCCATAGGGTTTCCAAGGCTGTAAATCTTCACGGAAGCAGACTGCCAAATCTTTCTCCCGCAGAGCGGCTGGTAGGTTAGAACAGCCCACCTTTTGGTTCGCAGCGGAGCGCTTTAAGCACTGCGCCACCAGGGCTCCTCAGTCCTCTGCTTAAAAAAAAATTCGTTGCGGTCGAGTCGATTCCGACTCATAGCGACCCCCTAAACCCCAGCCTCCAGGCCGCCCCCTCTCCCTAGTCCAGTATCCTCTTCCCAGCATCCGCCCCAACAGCTCCGCGCGAGATCGTCCCGAGACTGATTTCTCCAGCCCCACCCTGAGGGACTGCAGCCCCGCCCTACTCTTGGCCCCGCCCAGAGTCTCTAAACCCCGACCCCATCCTAGTCCCACTTCCCAGGCACGGTCCTGACTCTTTTAGACCCCAATTCTGAATCCCGGAACCGGATCTGGGTCTGCTTAATCTCACCCCGAGCCTGGCTGCGCGCCAGACCCCCTAAACTCCACTTTTGTCACGATCCTGGCTCAGACTCCCCCAGCTTTAGCGCCCTTTAACCTCGTAAATCAGCGCTCATTTCGGTCCCGCCAGCCGCCGAGCCCAGTCCCCATTTGGCCCCGCCCAATCGCTCCGAAGCCCCGCCCCGGGCCGGCCCCGCTCCTGCCGTGCGCTCACCCGCGTTGTAGAAGGAGTCGAGGGCGGCTGTGTCGCCCAGCGCCAGCGTCTCGAAAGGAAGGCTGCGCAGCTGCGGCGATGGCCGTGGCCCCTGGAGCTGTGAGCAGGCGTCGCGCAGGCAGCGCAGGGGCAGCGGCTCGGCCTCTCCTTCAGCTCCGGTCTCCGCTGCGAGCCGCGGCTCCCGGGTCAGCACATAGACCACGCTGAGCGGCCGGCTCCGTGCGCAGCCCCGGCCCGGGGGCGCCGCGGGTGGCCGGCTCCGGCACAGCGCCTCGGCCAGTGGGTCCTGCCAGCAGCTGCCGGCACGCTGCAGGGCCCCAGACCGCGAGCACGGCCCCGCCATGCGGGGGCGCTCAGGCGCGGGGCGCCCGGCTCTGGAACCCACGGCGAGGCAGGAACCGGGACGGCGAATCCAGGGATCTCGGATCGGAAATCCGGTCGGGATAAGGGAATTTCCTGAGGGATCTGGGAATCCGCAGTCCAGTCGAAGTTCTCGTTCCGAGAGTCTGGAGTCCAGGGCGGAATACGGGCTCGGACTTGTAAGGTCCTGAGGGTCTAGAATCGAGAAGTGGGTCCCGGGAATCTGCGGTATCTGGTGATCTGTGGCTCAGGGTCACGAGGGGGATCCCGGGAATCGATCGGGCCGCATCTGCCACTCGGACTCAATAGGGGAGGGCCCGCCGACGCTCTCCCCTGCTCTCACATGTAGGCCCGGCCCAGCCCATCCCCTTCCCGGCCGGCCGACAGGGAAAGCTCCACCCTCACCCCTCTGGCAGAGCCGCTCCCTAGCCACCCGGGACTCGGCCTCTTCCCTCCCCCTTCTCCCGCCAGAACCGCTCAGACTGGCGGCTTCCGGAACAGCCTGTGCTAGTGTGCACGCCAGCCACTGTGGACTGATCACAGCAGGCGCTCATAGGATGTGTGCCCAGGCCAGCGTTCGGGAAGAGGTGTGCAGGGATCTGTTGAATGAATGGTGTCTCCACGGAGACACCAGCGTGTGCAGAACAGGGAACAGTGGGTGTCCTCCAGGACCCTGGTGTGCAGATACAGAGACTGGAATGCGGGAAGCCTGCTCCTTGGGCTGCCAGCAGACCCTCAACCCTGGTGTAGGACTTGGCATCTGAATCAGGGCCTTTGCCCTCTTGCCAGGGGAGATGCTTTCCCCAGAAGCCAACCTGCTGTGGAGCCCTGCTGACCTCTGACCTCTACCCAGAGCCTGACAATGGAACCTGAGAAGGCCTTCCCCACTGCAAAAATGATATGGCAGGGGTGTCTGACTTCTAACTTCACAAGGGGGAAGGAGAATCGAGATCAACAGCCCACAGCTGATTCCTATGAGGCGGAGATCAGACATGCCTCCTCTCTCCAACCCTTTTACCAATTCTGACACCAGCTGGCCCTCCCATGGCACTCTCTACTTCTTTGCTGGGTTCAATAATTCATTGCAATGGCCACATAGAACTCACAGACAATACTCATGATTATGGAGTTTATTAGGAAAGTAACAGGTTACAATTCAGGATCAGGAATGACTCAGGATACAGTTCTTCGATCAGGACAGCCTTTTCTTCAGCTGTGCTTGCAGGCAGGCTTCCCTCTGGACCTCTGCCTCACCTCTGCCTTGCTCAGGCAAGTGTTACAAATCTCTTTAGCTCTGCCAATAAGTGCCCAAAGGCACCCTACTCTGCCAGTAAGCCTCTGCCAGAAGGCACTCAGCTCTCTCACTCCGTGGGTTGGCACACCCACTGTAGCCACCTTGCTACGTGGGCTGGGAAGCCCACTGTGCCTTCTTGTGCTGGTCTCCTGGTTCTGCAGCCACTGCTTCTCGCCATCTCTCACCATCTCTGGTGTTACAGCTCTGTCTCCTGGGTCTAGGAGGTTCTCAGCACAGAGACCCTGTGCTCCACTCCTAGCTTTCCTGCTCTTGGATTGGCTCTCTTTTAAGCCTACCAGTATGGCAAAACTGACCAATTCCCTTGTTAGGGTTCCATACACCTTATTTGCATGGTCCCACCCCCACAGGGGTTCCATACACTTCATCTGCATTATTAACAAGCTATCCAAGCAGCTTATTTGCATAGTTCCACCCAATCATTTGGTGGGAGTTACAAGACCATGGCAAGAAAGGCCATATAAAAGTGATATATCACACTACACCTACTGCAAACATTTCTTTACCCACCTGAAGGAGAACCCAGAAATCCCAGCCCTTCCCAGCTTTAAATCCCCAAGAATCCCTAACCTTCCAGTATGAACTAGCCAGTGACTGAGGCAGCAACCTAGTGTAAATATCAGTAGACCCTGAAATCAGGAACTGGGGACTGGAAGAAGTTGAGTAACTTGTCCAAGAATGCTTAGCTACATGACAGAGCAAGATTCAAACTCAGGACTACCTGTGACTGCAGATATCTGCTCTTAACCATTTATTTTTCTGCCACTTACTACAATGTGGCTTTGAACAAACTGTTCCTAAGTGCTAGCTCAGTGGCTACTGTTTTACTGTCCTATTGCCCCATGGAAGAAAAATGTACCTTCTGTGGTTTGACCCTAGGTTCAAACCAGCCCCCAATGGGACAGGCAAGAAATAGCAGAGGGTCACCACCGACTACTCTGACAGTGATCACAACAGAGCATTCCAGACAGAACTGGAGAAAAATGTAGAACAAAATTCTAACTCACATAAATAAGACCAGACTTACTGGTCTGAGAGAGACTGGAGAAACCCCGAGAGTATGGCCCTGGACACCCTTTTAACTCAGTACTGAAGTCACTCCTGAGGTTCACCCTTCATCCAAAGATTAGACAGGCCCATAAAACAAAATGAGACTAAATGGGCACACCAGCCCAGGGGTAAGGACGAGAAGGCAGGAGGGGACAGGAAAGCTGGCAATGGGGAACCCAAGGTCCAGACGGGGAGAGTGTTGACATGGCATGGGGTTGGCAACTAGTGTCACAAAACTATATGTATATTAATTCTTTAATTAGAAACTAATTTGCTCTGTAAACCATCTAAAGCACAATAATAAAAAAAAAATAACAGAGGGTAAGAAATAAGCTTACAACAGAGGCTGGGATGAAGAGCAGACAATTTAGAAGGGAGAGGCACCTAGGCAACAGACAGGGTGAGAAAGCTGTGCAATTCCTGCCACAAAACCATCCAATTGCAGGACCTAGAGGACCCAGGGGAATTGTCAGTGGATGCTTGAATCTCCTCCGTGACCTCCACTGAGTGCCCCTCTGGCCTTGACTTGCACACCTCCAGAGATGGAAGCCTTACTTCCTTAAGAGGCAGTCCCTTCCACCTTCCTGACTGGAAGGCCTTCCTTGAGTGGAGCTGAAACGTATGTCCCTGCTCTGCCCTCTTAGATTTTTCCCAGTAACTGGAAGAGTCTTGCAAGCCAGGAAAGGGTTACGATGACTTTATTTTAAATGTGGGCAGGGGTCAGTGGCAGTTGGCAAGGGGGAGAAGTGGCTAAGGGTACGGAAGCTGTACAGCGCAGATAAGGGTGTTGGCTGCCAGGGTGCCCTAGCGAAGCATCATCCGAACCCTGCAGTAGGGGTAGCCCACGCCACGGCCTGAGTCCCAGTTGATGCCATACTTGTGAGCTGTGGCCTCAGATGCCTCGTAGCACCCATTGAGATTGGATGTATAGCAAGATTCATACCACCAGGCTCTGTGGACAGCCACCGCACAATTGCCCCGTTTGTATTGTGGTCAGCGTCATAGGTGGTGAAGGGCCTCCCACTGTGGAAACTCACGGAGGCCCCTGGGAGGGAGAAGATGGGAGGTGGCTTGGTGTCTGGCATCGTGCCTGGCACCCTTGGAGATATTACTTCACAGGAGCCTCAGAGCAACTGTGAGTTGGAGATTTTCAGGCCCTGTGAGAAAGCAGCAGCTCCAAGGGGCCAGGTTGTTTGCCCAAGGTCATCCATCTAGTCACAGGGACACAGACTCAAACTCAGGACTGTCTGGCTCCAAAACCACCAGCTTTTCCCTCTGCGTTGTCCCCACCCAGAATTCCCAGCTCTAGCTCCTTTGTTCCCTCCCGGCTCTCATCAGCCACCTGAGCAATGCTGCCAGGGAGAGTTGGGAGGAGACTTTTGGATGCCTGGGCAGGAAATGGGGCTCCCCTGGGGCACCTCCTCATAACCACTTCCCTCTTTCAAATCTCTCCTCAACAGTCACTGTTTCTCTGAAAAAGTCTTCCCTGGTTTCTCTTCTGAAGCAGAGAACGTGAACACTCAACAGAGCCTCAGATGGCATCCACGGCCTCCCTCCCTGCCTCCCTGCCCTTTTAGAGGGGAGGAAACGGAGACTCTGACGGGGAAGGGACTTGCCCAAGGTCACATAGTTGGTCAAGTGGCAGAGCTGGGTTCCAAATCAGGCCTCTTTTGCCACCAGAGCCCAGATTCTCCATTTCTGCACCATCCTGCCTCATGACCGCCATTCCTCAGAGGAGGAAACGGGCCCAAAGAGGGGAACGGCCTGGCTGGGTCATCAAGGAAGCAGTGGCAGCGCTGGGGGAGGAGCCAGCCCCCTTCCCCTTCTGCACCTCCTCCAGGGCCTCTCCTCAGGTCTACTTACCTGCTGTGCCCTCTGAGAACTGGCCCAGCACTAGCTGGTAGTGATCTGCCTCCCCAGGAAGGCGGAAGGTAATGTAGTGAGCAAAGGTACGGTTGCTAAAGTCCTCCAGCTCCACCCGCAGCTCCCAGGTACCTGGGTCGAGAGGAGAAAGAGTAATTCTCAGTTCCCAGGGTGGGGGTTCAGGATGACAGAGGAATACCCCTGAGGCCCCTTGGACCCTTCTGGGAACTTACCCTTGAGAGTAAGCTGATACAAATTCTCATTCTCCAGCCAGAATTCAGACTCCTGGCTCCCAAAACCTCCTTTGTAGGAGGCCCAAGAGCGAAAGAAATCCAGAGAGCTGTCCTGCCGCCTCTGGAACACCTAGGGAGGCAGGAGTGCAGGACATTGACTATTACTCCAGGCTGGTTTGGGATGGGGAGAAGCAGGGGTAGTGGCAGCTGTGGGTGGCTGAGCTGTGAGCGCTGGGTGGCATTTCCCCTCTATTTGGATTGGGGACTTGTTAAAACATGATTCCTTCATATGAGCTCTGCCTGTGAATATATTGATGAACTCTACATCCCCTTATGAACTTTCATGACACTCAACTCCATGCCAAATCAGGCCCTAGGGGAGACAAGGGATAGAGATACTGTCCTGACCCTTGGAAGACGGTCAGTCCTACTGGGAGTCAGAGTCAGCATAAAAACAAAAACAAAAAAAACCCCATTGCCATCGAGTCAATTCTAACTCATGGTGAACCCATGTGTTACAGAGTAGAACTGCTCCATAAGGTTTTCTTGGCTGTAATCCTTATGGAAGTAAATTGCCAGGCCTTTCTACTGCAGCACCACTGGGTGGGTTTGAACCACTAACCTTTAGGTTGGTATTTGATTTTGTGCCACCCAGGGACCTCAATTCCATATAACCTGCTTTAATTTACTCTAAGAATCAAGATGTTAGAGCAGAGAGGTCACTTTTCCTAATCCTTCTCCTAATCCCAGAGGACACTTGGGCCTTACCCCTATGCCCCACCTCCCTTCCTCCTCCAAGCCAAGCAGTCCCCAGGCCTTGTAGAGTTTCCCTCCTAATTATTGTTCAGTTTAAGTGTACCCATTTCCAGGGTTGCCACTGTCCACTGCCGTCTACTGCCCGGACCCTGCAGTCCTCCTAACTAGCGTCTTTGCCTCTCCTTTTGCCCCCACTACAGCACATCTCTCACAGTGTGGCTGGAGTCATCCTTCCAAAACACAAGTCTGACCTGGTCCCTCTCCAGCTTAAAACTCCTCTGTGGCTCCCCATTGCCCTCCATCCTCCTCAGTCAGTCATTCAGTGCCCTCTGTGAACTGGCCTTTGCAGAGCTCCTCAACCCACCTCTGGCCAACACCGGCAGACCTCAGCTGACTACCCATGCTCTCAACTCACTCACACGGTCCCCCCAAACCCTCTAATATCCTCCTGCCTCCTTTGTTTTTCCTTCTACCTGGAGTGCCTTCTGTGCCTCGTCTGTCTGGAGAATTTCTACACAGCCTTCAAGACCCTTTCAAATGTTACCTCCTCTGTGAAGACTTCCCAAACTTCTTCAGGTCCCCTGGGTGCTCAGTGAACATTTGTCAGTGACTGACTTTAAGGAAAAACCTGGCTCCAGTGGGCTCTGGCTCCCCCTAGGGCTGAGGGGAGAAATGCCCACTGGCCTTGGCCTGCTAGCTCCTTCTCCTCCATCCCTACCCCTCACACTCACCAGTCAGCCGCCCCCTGCTGAGTCCATGTCACAAAAGACTGGGAGGACCCTGCTCTCGGGTAGGCACAGATGGTACCAGCCAGTCAAAGTGTTCCCTTGGCTCAGCAGCTCCTGGCAGCTCCTGGGGTCTGGGGAAGGGGAAAGGGACTGAGGGGAGCTCCCAAATTATTCCCTGGACCCCATGCTCTGGGCAATGAAACAGTGTGGGACCAGGAACATGCTCGGCCCCCTCAGGCCCCTGAGGGGGGTTCTAGGGAGGGTTGTGGGGAGGGGCCTGGCCACATCTGGGGTCCACCAACATCCCAGCACCACCTAATTCCAAGTTCCCGGCTCCAGCAAAGGCTGCCTCACCCTCCTGGCACCAGAGCATGTCCACTGGATCTCTTGCCCCAGGAAAGGACTGAGTGTTGGCTCTGGGGTCAAAGCATTCCCAAGGGAATGTCCAGGACCACCAGTGGGGAGAGTGACAGGCCCTTCTCCTAATCCTGTCCCCCTAGCCTCCTGCCTCCCAGCAGTGGTCAAGTGGAGACACCCACCCCTCTCCAGCTGAGGGACAGATGCAAAGAAAGGAGGGGAGACTGCAGTCCCACACTCACCAGGCTCACCCTTGGGGCCCATCTTGCCTGGTGGTCCAGGTTGCCCTGAAATCCAAGAGGCAGAGATGCCCTAAGGCCTGCCCTGTGCCCAGGACCAAAAAGGAGCAAGGGGTTTGGAACCAGAGGGTTCAGATCCCAGTTTCACCCTGTACTGGCTCTGAGTGTGGGCAACGACTTACCCTCTCCGAGCCTCAGTTTCCTCCTTGGTAAAATGGGGATGATAACCCCTACCTCACAGAGTTGCTCTCAGGATGCAGAGTGCCCAGCCAGGAGCCTGGCACGGAGTAGGTTCCTTGCCCTCTTGCCGTGGCCCCTCAGCACGAATAGTAATTGCTGCATCCCTAGCCCCCCAGTTCACCCCAAAGCTCCTGCTGGCTCCCCAGCATCTCTCACCTGAAGGGCCTGGAGCCCCCTTCTCCCCAGGACTTTCTGGGGCTCCAGGACAACTGGGCAGGAGGACAATTTTGCTGACTTCTATTTCCCTGGGTTCTGCAGTGAGAAGCAGGGCCAGGTGGGCACAGGGTGGTCAGGGGGAGTGGGCCCTCCTCCCCCAAACCTCTCTGCAGTTCTGTCTCCATCTCCCATGGATTCTAGTGGTCAGGACGCAAACCTCCAGAGCAGGCAAGCATTTACATCATTTGCATCTATTTTCATACATTTACATGCAGAGCCCAAACTATCAAATTCCCACCCTGCTCTTTGGGTCTGGTGAGCCTGGGTGGGGGAAGGACACTCAGGGAGGAAACGAGGGGTGGGTTGGTGAGGAGGGCATCCTAGGCCCTACCTGGGCAGCTGGGGGACTCTTGGGTCCTCAGGCAGCTGGGTCTCCCAAGGAGCAGGAGCAGCAGGGAGAGTGGTGTTCACAGTTGGCCCATTTTTCTGGTGTCACAGAGGGAAGATGGCAGCTTATTTGAGGGCCAGACTGGTAAGGGGAAGTGAAACCAGACTCCCGCCATCCACTCCCCTAGGTCCACTCCATCCAGGCTGGAGCTAGCAGGGGGTGGGGGCATTTCCTTCCTCAGTCCCAGAGAGAATGGGCATTGTCCCTGCCCTGTTTACCCAGGATGGAGTCCAATTCCTGATCCTGGCCTCCAGGGCTCCCCAACCTTCTCTCCAGGACTCTGAATTCACACGGGGCTTTTCCGCATTTGAACCTTGGTTCTTGCTGTGCCTTCCATCTGGAAGTCTCTCCTCTTCATCATGGAGCTCCACCTGTTCACGAAGGCCCAGCCCTAATGCCATCTCCTCTAGGAAACTTTCCCTGACCCTTCTCAACAATATCAATAATGACCAAGCCACCACTTATTGGGCACCCAGTGCACCCCAGATGGCATGCTGGGTGCAGTTTGTCATCACCTCCGATCCTTACACAGCCTGCTCAAAGTCATTATGATTGGATCTGGGCTATAGGCCTGGTACAAAGCAGGCACTCAATAAATATTTGTTAAATGAATGAACAGAGAGGGGGACACTGAGTTCTAGAGACGGGACGTGACTTGTGCTCTCTGTGACAACTTTCATGCCCAGAGCCACAGATATTTCACCCGAGGTCCATGCTCCCCACCACAGGAGAAGCACCCTTAGGAAAGTGACTTCATGCCCAACCTCGAGTCCCTCAGGGATCCCCTAATAGGGCCTAAGAACAGCTGTTAATATAGGTCACCTGCGTGGGCAGCCCATGCAGGAGAGGCCAGGAGGCTGGGAGGCCAGTGAGGAGGAAGAAGTCAAGGTCCAGATGTGAGGGATAAGGCCTGAGCTGGAGGGGAGAGTGGTGACAGGGTGACAGGGGAGGCGACCGGGAAAGGGAGGGAGGGCTCATTCACTCACTCATTCATTCAGCAAACCCTCCGTAAGGGCCTCCTCTGTGCCAGACCCAGTGCTGGGGGAAGGAGAAGGGGCTGAGGTGCAGGGGGTGTCAGAGGAGGTGGAGTGGAGTTTGCCTGGCTGGGTGAATGTACGAGATGGATGCCCTGAGACCTGCAATTCCAGTTCTAGGAATCTGTCCTCCTGAGCTGCTCCCACAGGTGTGCCCAGAGCAGACCGGCCTGTTCATCTGCAGCCCAGAGCAGACCAGCCTGTTCATCATGGCAGTTCATAACCATCAGTGTGACCACTAGGATCCAGGCAAATAAATTATGACCTCTGGGCAATCATAAGGCAAATCTGATCACTGATGAAGGGGTGAAGTTGTAGAACAATGTGTAGAACATGATCCCATTTTGTATTTCAAAAGAGCTAAATGTGCGTATGTTATTGCTGTGTGCCGTCGAGTTGACTTTGACTTACAATGACCTCATGTGACAGAATAGGACTGCCTCATAGGGTTGTTTTTGGCTGTTACCTTTACAGAAGTAGATCGCCAGGTCTTCCTCCTGTGGAGCCAGTGAGCAGGTTTGAACTACCTACCTTTCGGTTAGCAGCTGAGCACTTAACCGTTTGTGCCACCAGGGCTCTTTAAATGTGTGTACAGTACAAAAGAAAACCCAAACCCACTGCCGTCAAGTCAATTCCGACTCATAGTGTGACCCTATAGGACAGAGTAGAACTGCCTCATAGGGTTTCCAAGGAGCGACTGGTGGATTCAAACTGCCAACCTTTTGGTTAGCAGCCAAGCTCTTAACCACTGCACCACCGGGTTCCGTGTACAGTATATATGTTGTAAATTCACAGAAAAAGGTCTGACACATACTGTTAAACCAATTACTGTCGATTCCAACTCATGGCAACCCCATGTGTGTCAGAATAGAACTATGCTCCATAGAGTTTTCAATCGCTGATTTCCTGGAAGTAGATAGCCAGGCCTTTCTTCGGAGGCACCTCTGGGTGTATTTGAATCTTCAACCTTTAGGTTAGCAGCCTAGTGTGTTAACCATTTGCACCACCCAGGGTTTCCCACACATACTGTTAACCATAGTTATTTCTGGTGAGTGGGACCAGGGAAGAAAAATTCTCTCTGTTGTGTTCCCTGTCAGGGTGGTCATTGGTGGTAGCCGGGCACTATCTAGTTCTTCTGGTCTCAGGCTAATACTTTCCTTGTGTCTTTGGTGTTCATTCTCCTTTACTCCAGGTGGTTGGGACCAATTGATGCATCTCAGATGGCCGCTTGCAAGCTTTTAAGAGCCCAGACGCTACTCACCAAAGTAGGATGCAGAACATTTTCTTAATGAGCTTTGTTATGCAAATTGCCCTCGATGTCCCCTGAAAGCATGGTCCCCAGACCCCTATCCCTGGTACTCTGTCCCTCAAAGTGTTTGATTGTATGCAGGAAACTTCTTAGCTTTGGTTTAGTCCAGTTGTGCTGACTTCCCCGGTAGTGTGTGCTGTCCTTCCCTTCACCTAAGATAATTCTTATCTACAATCTAGTTAGTAAATAACCCTCACCCTCTCTCCCCACCCTCATAACCATCAAAAAATGTTTTCTTATGTGTTTAAACCTTTTCTTGAGTTCTTATAATAGTGGTCTTATACAATATTTGTCCTTCTGTGACTGACTAAATTCACTCAGCATAATGATCTCCAGCTTCCTCCATGTTATGTTTCATGACTTCATCGTTGTGCTTTACCATTGCGTAGTAGTCCATTGTGTGGATATACCATAATTTGTTTAACCATTCGTCCATTGATGGGCACCTAGTTTGTTTCCATTTTTTTGCTGTTGTGAACAGTGCTGCAATGAACATGGGTGTCCATATATCTATTCGTGTGATGGCTCTTATTTCTCTAGGATATATTCCAAGGAGCAGGATAGCTGGATGGTATGGTACTTCTATTTCTAGCTTTTTAAGGAAGCGTCAAATCAATTTCCAAAGTGGTTGTATCATTTTACATTGCCACCAACAGTGTGTAAGTGTCCCCATCTCTCCACAACCTCTCCAGCATTTAGCGTTTTGTGTTTTTTGGATTAATGCTAGCCTTGTTGGGTGAGATGATATCTCATGGTAGTTTTGATCTGCATTTCTCTAACGGCTAATGATCATGAGCATTTCTTCATGTGTCTGTTGGCCGCCTGAATATCTTCTTTGGCCAAGTGTCAGTTCATATCCTTTGCCCATTTTTTAATTGGGTTATTTGTCTTTTTGTTGTTGAGGTTTTGCAGTATCTTGCAGATTTTAGAGATCAGATGCTGATCGGATTTGTTGTAGCCAAAAATTTTTTCCCAGTCTGTAGGTTGTCTTTTGACTCTTTTGGTGAAGTCTTTGGATGAGCATAAGTGTTTGATTTTTAGGAGCTCCCGGTTACCTGGTCTCTCTTCCGGTGCTTGTGCGTTTTCACTTATGGTTCGTATTGTGTTTATGCCACGTATTAGGGCTCCGAGCGTTGTCCCTATTTTTTCTTCCATGATCTTTATCGTTTTTTATTTTGTATTTGTCTTTGATCCTTTTTGAGTTAGTTTTTGTGCATGGTGTGCGGTATGGGTCTTGTTTCAGTTTTTTGCAGGTGGATATCCAGTTATGCCAGCACCATTTGTTAGAGAGACCGTCTTTTCCCCAATTAACGGACTTTGGGCCTTTGTCCAATATCAGCTGCTCATAGGTGGATGAATATATGTCTGGATTCTCAATTCTGTTCCATTGGTCTATGTATCTGTTGTTGTACCAGTACCAGGCTGTTCAATTCTCATTCTTTATGTGAACTTCTGTATCAGTCTTTATATAAACATTTTCTTATAGGAAGTTACTACTTTTGAAAATAACACATCTAATAAAGAAGGGGGTAAGGAAAAGGAATTTTGCTGGGGGAAGAAGCCAGGGGAGGGTGATCCAGACAGGAGGAACTGCATGGGCAAAGCCTTGGAGAAGAGACAGAGCAAGGCAGGCTGGGTAACAGAAGTAGATCCAAGTAGCTGGAGGAGAACTCCAAGGGGAGGCCGACATCTGAGAGGTTGAGGAGGCTTTGGTGGATTCAGTGTGGGAGGAGGGGGAGGAGTGGGGAGTCGGATTGGCTGTGTTTGGCATTGTAGATAAGCGTGTGATGTGAGGGCAGGTGAACCCTCTGTGGGGCCAGGGAGTAGCAGAGCTACCTGTGAACTCCAGGGTCCTTCAGAGCCCCTCCAGCTTCAGCTGAAGACCCCGTGGGGAGGCTGGGGTGGGGGAAGGAGGTGCAGAAGGCTTGACCAGAGGCTGCACAGCTGGAAGGGTGGACAGGGTGTCATGGAATGAAGCAGATAGGGCACATGCACCCACTCTGAACCTTCTCCACATCCCACTAGATGGATACTATTGTTATTCCCACTTTACAGATAAGGAAGCTGAGGCCCAGAGCTGTTAAATAATTTGCTTGAGTTCACACACAGCAGCGGCCTCAACAGGCTGAACTCCGAACCATTAGTCTCTATTGCCTTCCAACGTCCTAGGAGAAAGCTGTGACACTCTAGCCACAGGCTGGCTCCCAGCAAGTGCCCAATCAATGGGAGAGGTTGTTAGTCAGGAAAGAAGACATCTGAGCCCAGGGATGGGCAGGGGGGTCTCTACCTCCACACTAGGGGGTCAAAACATAACTTTAAGGGACTGAGAGAGCCTAGAGATGCCTCTGGAGGGGAGTTCTGATATTCCACTCACCTTGGAGTCAGAAAAAAACAGATTCAAATCCCAGCCCTGCCCCATGCAGCTGTGTGATCCTAAGCAAGTATACATACCTTTCTGAGTGTCTGTATCCTCATCTGTAAAGGGCTGGGGGGAGAACATGTGTAATAGACAACAGATAAAATATTTTAAGAGGTGACAGCAACTGTTCTAGGTGGAATTCTTGTTAAGGAGAGGACAGTGGCCATACTCCCACCCCACCCAATCCACACGCAGCCCAGGACACAGGACATGAAGCACAGTGCTGGAAAGAGTTCTTTTATTTGGGGGCAATGCCCACGCCAGGTCAGTGGGGAGAGGTGGGCACAGAAGCCAGGTGCTAGGCTGGGGGCCACCGCAGGGGTGAGGATGAGACAGAAGGTGGGTGGGGATGCTCTTAGCGGCAGAAGCCAGCTCAGGACAGGAAGGAATGTCCAGCATCAGGTGCTGAGCCTGCTCAGGATTGCAGGGGCCAGGAATTGCTGGCCCAAGTTTTTCCCACCCCCAGGGCTCATGGGGGAACCAGAGGGAAGGCTCCGTGTCCTTTTTTCCCCTCTGTGTGGAGTCCAGGCCTGAAGAGGGTCAGATTCTGCGGGGGCCAGACAGAGAGGGTTCTCAGGGAGGTGGCCCTGCCTCAGCTGGGCCGAGGACCCTACCCCCAGAGAGCAGACAGCGGATGGAAGATCATACACTTTAATGGGGGCTGTGGTGACCCACCCCACAGCACACACAGCACACAGGGGCTCAAGTGCAGTCCCCTTCTCAGAGGGAAATCAAACCGCACACATGGCCCCAACTCCACCCCTGGCCACAGGACTGCAGGGCCAAAGTCTTGCCTGGGTGTCACCTACTGGTTCTCCTCCCTGGCAGCATGAGGGGGCAAAGACACAGGTGGGCTCAGGTGGGCTCCCAGACACGTGGCCCAGGCTGAGCCCAGAGTCCTGGTCCCAGCTAACGTCTGGCAGAGAGAGCCCCACAACTGGAAGAAGGACAAGGGGTGTGGCTCATGGGGGGGCAGGAGTCATTGTCCTTGGAGCTACCCCATTGGGAAGACAGTTTCCTAGGTACTGAGGGGAATGAGGGGCAGAAGTGGGGTAGGGGAGTTAGCTGGGACTCCACTGGCTGGTCAGCTACTCACAGTGTCTGGTAGGTGCTGTCCTTGGTCTTGAGGAAGCGCAGCATAAAGAAAGCCACCGTCTGCAGGCTCAGCACCAGCACAACACCCCCAATGAAGCTGGCCCCATCAAAGCCAGGGCTAGGGGCTTCGGGGACCATTGGGCTTTCTGCAGGGGCAGGGCAGGGTGGAGGTCATAACGGGCCACCATGGACCAGGATTCCAGCCCCACCCCCACGATGGGGACCTTGAATACCAGGGTCAGAACTGCAGCCCAGATCCTACATGGGCAGTAGGGAAGTGCCTGGTGAGGAGGGACAGTGTTGTGGCAGGGGATGGTGGGGCCTTGGCTCCAGGCCTGGCACTGTTTATGAGTTGCTCTGTGGCTTATGCCTCCCACATCCTCTCTGGGCCTCCTGTTCACACAGGCCCAACAGGTGGGTTGGACTCCCCTCCAGCTTGCCTATCCCATACTGTCCCAACAGGGTGAGGATAGACCCACCAGCCCCAAGTCCCTTTCAGCCTTGGGTCTTGGTGTTCAGAGCCCAGACACAGATGACATGGTCTTCTTTCAGAACTCCTAAGCCTGCAGACCCCTGAGCCACGCGACGTCAGAGCCCTCAGAGAGGGAAGAAGCGAGGCCCTGAGTGGGCCAGGCTAACACCTGTGAGCAGGTAAACGGAGGCTAGATAGTAGATGTCAGAGGGAGAAACTAGGCTCTGAGGGCCAGCATGCCTAAAGTCACTCTACAGTCAGGACAGAGCTGGATTCATACTGGGTGCCCTGGCCCTTAGAGGGTAGAGTCAGGGCTCACAATTGCCAGGCTGTGTCTGGGTGGCTCCCAGCTGTGCCACGTCACCCATCAACTCCCACCAGGGATTTGATTTCAGGCCTTAGGCCCAGTGCCCAGGGCAGAGAAGGGCTGGCGGGTGGGAGATCATCCTGGGACAGTGACAGGGGCCTGGCTGTGAGATGGGTCCACCTTCCAGAGGATATGGGTGGTGTGAGGGGGTCTGACAATACGAAGGGCAAAGGGTGGTCCCAGAGAAGGGCACCAGGGAATAAGAAGGAAAAGATGAAGAAATGAGCCATACAAGGCCTATCTGGGGCTCAAGCCGGAGGGAGCACAGCCATCAATAATTCAGCCTCTGAGATCGTGTTTCCAGCTTTAATTAACCAAGAGCCTCTTCAACCACCACTGCCAAGCCCGGTGACCTCCAAGCCCTGAGGGGGCAGTGGGAATCAAGGGGCGGGGTTCTTGCCTCAGCGATGCTGGGAACCTGCTTTGTGACCCTGTCTGGGCCCGGAGGTTGCACTAGGTGGTCACTGAGGACCACCCGAACCACACACCCTCAGCACCAAGGACAGGTCCTGAGAGTTCACCCTGAGTTCCCAGAATTGATGGTGGTGGGAGAAGGGAGGGGAACTACGGTTTCTTGATTGCCTTCTACATGTCAGACACTGAACTAGGCACTATACACCCATCATCTCAAAATTTTCACAGCAACTCTGTGAAGTACGTATCATCCAACCCGTTGTTTGCTTAGATCTGGAAACGGAGGCCTGAGGTGACCGACCATGACAGTGCCTGAGTCCAGGTCTGTCTTTCCCTGCACCTCTGGTCTTTCCGCCACCCCATTTCCCCAGGTAGTACCTACCTGTTGTAATTGTCTGCGGTTTATAGGTGGGTTGGTGGTGGGCAGCTGAGGAGACAGAGAATCTATAATAAACCAGCCCTCCCAGCCCCTGACTGCTAGGGAAACCCCAGCTCAGGCCAACAGCCTAACTTTTGACTCAGATCAGCACCCCCTTCCCAGATTCAGATAAACCCAACAGACTTTCAAGCCTTAGTTCACACAGTTCCTTCTACCAGATGTGCCCTCTCTCCATCCCCACCTCCAAGGCTCATCTCTAATGCCACCTCCTCCAGGAAGCCCCCCATCCATTTTGAACTTCCGAAGCTCTCATTCTGCCTTAAATTAAAAGAAGAGCTACCCACATACACATACTTGGCCTAGACCCCACCCCCACACCCCCACCCCTCAGCCCAGCTCTACCCATTTACAGATGAGGAAACAGTGCAGAGAGGGGAAGGGACTTCTCAACTAGAGGCAGAATTGAGACTGGGCCCAGGTGTTCCAAGGGCATGAGCCACTCTCAGGAGAGGTTGGGTCTTTTCTGGAGGGCAGGCTATAGCTGGGGGACACTTCAGCCTCCTCCCTCCAACTTGGCTTAGGCCACTGGGAGCCCCCTTACCCGGACACGCCTCCGAGTGGTTGTAGACAGAGCAGCCTTCCTTGACTACCTCAGCTTGGGCCACACAGCGTCCTGGTGGGAGAAGGTGCAGGGGAGAGGTTTGAGGAGAGGGACTAAGGCCCTGAGGTTCAGAGCTGGGGGCGCTCAACATGGAGAGGGCCCACTCCCACCCCGTACCTGGCTCCTCGGGCCGGCATTGCTCCCACACGCAGCCTGACAGGTTGTGTGCTCTGTCCCCCTCCACACAATGCTCACAGAGCTCCAGCTCTCTGCAGCCCCCTTGGACAGCTGGCCAGATGTTCAGGCGCAGCAGGGCACCCCGCCCAAAGCCTCGAGCTCCTTTACCTGACGGGGAGGGGGCGGTGACAAGGGAACAACTCCTTGAACCAGAGCTGCAGGGGCCCCAGACTACTGTGACTCTCATCCCTCTGCACACATCTGGGTTCCCACATACAATCACCTGGAGCCCCCAAGCCCCTCTACACACCTGGAGCTGCCATAAACACATGGTTATACACACCTAGAACCTCTCCCACATCCACCCAGAGCCCCCTCCCTTTGCACACACCTGGGATTACCAGATACATTTGAAGCCACCTCTCCAGATATACCTGGGGTCCCTTCCCTGCGATACATCTGAAGCTCCCTAATCCTCCACACTCCAGAGCCTATAATACAATACAGGGCTCCAGTCCACACACAGCTAGAGGCCCCTTCTTCTGCCCACTCCTGGAGCCCTGACACTTCTGGAAGGTCCCCTCCCCACCTCCCAAACCCAGGCTGCTCCTGGGTGGCGGCTAGGTGAAGGGCTTGCTCCAAGTCTCCCTGCCCAGACTCCTAACCAGACCCGGTCCCGCGTTACCAGCCACAGCGAGCTGGGCGCACAGCAGGAGGCAGCAGCAGCCGCCACAGAGCACAGCCCTCAAGGCGCGGGGTCCCGGTGCAGCCATGGGCGCGGGGTGCGGGGGTGGGGGGGTCCGCTGAGAGCTGGCGCCGCGCGTCCCTTCGCTGCTCCGCTCGGCTGAGAGCGTGAAGAGGGAGACCCGGGCAACAAGGGCGGAGTCAGGAAGGGGCGTGGCCAGTCCAGGGGCGTGGCCAGTGGGCCCGGCCAGGTTGGGCTGGGCTGAGCTCAGCGGTCCCGGCGGTGCTCCGTGAAGGCTGTACTAAACAGGGGCGCGGCTAGTGCGCGAGGCCAGGTGTGGCTGGGTTCGTTGGTCTGGGGCGGGGGAGACTTGGAAGAAGCCGACGACTTGGGGACTGGGTTCCCCAAAAGGGTAGCTTCACGCCAACTCTGTTAAGTAGCAACTGTTATTATTCCTGCCTTACAGGTGGGGAAACTGAGGCTCCGAAAAGGTTAGTGACCTGTCCGAGGTCACAGAGCGAGTTAGCAGCCAAACTTGGATTTGAAGTGAGGTCTGCCTCCAGAGCTTGGTGCAGGCGAGCCTTTTCGGTTGTACCCTCCAGCCAAGCCTCATGGCTGCTGAGAAGAGCTTCAGTTAGCCCCTCACCTCTGGCTGGGCTGCTCAGGCCTCTCTGCCTTGCTTCACCCCTTACAGCCCCCTCCCTTCTGCCCCTTAGCTCTCCCTTCTGTCCTCTGTCCACCCACCACACCCTCTGGTCAAGCCACAGGTCGCACTATTGCCAGGTCAATTGGGCCTTCCCCAGGGCCACCACGCCTCTTCTGGTTCTCCTGCTGCAGTCACTTCGTCTGTTCCTTAGAGTGCGCTGCCGCCGCCGCCTCCTCTCCTTTCTCCCCTTCTCTCCTCTTCCCCCTCCTCTGCCTCCTCTTCTTCTTGCTCCTCCTTCCCTTCCTCCTTCTCCTCCTCCTCCCTCCTCTCCTTTCCCTCCTCCCCACTTCTCCTTTTCCACCTCCCTCCTCCTTCCGTCCTCTTCATCGCTGGTAGCCCAGAGCAGCCCTGAGTCCTATTCTACACTCTCCTGGGGCCATACTGGCCATTTATCTGTCATCACTTCCCATTTGAAAGCCACATCTCCATCTCCAGCCCAGCTAGCTCACCCCATGCCACACCTGTAACTAATGATAGTTAACAATTATTGACCCCTTACTATGCAATAGGTACATTCTTTTACTTGCTGTGTCTCATCTGATGTCCACAAGCACCCTCCAGGGTGCTTTTTTGTTGACCCCAATTTGCAGGAATGAAAACTGAAATCATCTGTCTAGGCACACAGTTACAATGTGGTGGGCCAGGATGTGAGTTCAGCATTGACTGAGGCCAGAGGCTACTCTCTGCTGTGCCTCCTGTGGGTCCATCTGCTTCCTGGACACCTCTGCCTGAGTGCCCGTCAGGCTTCTGAAACTCCTCCCCACACAGAGAAGCCCCATCATCCCCCAATCACCTGGGTCAACCAGGGCCTCATTCTCACTCCCTCGCTCTGTCTCAGTTCCCAGATTAAAATCCTTCAGCTTCTGCTTCTACATGTCTCCTGGGTCCTGCCCCCTCATCCTCCCTCTCCTGGCCTCACTGCCTCCAAGTCCCAGCCTCCAGTCCCCTCACCAAGCCCTCACAGTGCAGGGCTCTCCTGAAACCAAGGATTTGAACAGGTCTCTTCCAGTTAACAACTTTTCAACAGTGGCTTGGCCTCTATAACCCTTCAATTTCTGGCGCTAGAAGTCTTTCTAGTCTGTCTCAGACCCTCCCCAACACCTTCCTACCTACTAAAAAAATAGAATAGCCCCCCACTGTCTCTCTCTTTCATACCTCTTTGCCTTTATCCTAGCTCTTCTCTCTGCTGGGATCCTCCTGCACCCCCAAACTAATACTTCAAGACACCACTAAAAGGCCACCTCCAACAGGAAGTCCTCTGTGACTGTCTCAGTGAGGCTGAGCTGCTGTAGCACTTGTCTGAGCATTTGTCCCACCGTGGTAGATCTGAATCCATCTGCTTCTCCACTTCCCAGCCTCGCCTCTCACCATCTCTTACCTAATGACTGCAGTGGCCTCCTACTGGGGCTCCTGCTTCTGCCCACCCCTATATCTGTCCAGTCCTGTTGTCCACTCAGCAATCAGAGTGATCTTCTGAAAAATTAAGTCAGATCATGTAAAAAAAATTCTAGTTGCTTTAGAGTCAATGCCAAATCATGGTGACCCCATGTGTGTCAGAGTAGAACTGTGCTCCATTTGGTTTTCAATGGCTGATTGTTTGGAAGTAGAGTGCCAGGCCTTTCTTCTGAGGTGTCTCTGGGTGGATTCGAACTACTGTTTGTACCACCCAGGGATTCCTTAGATCATCACTCCTCTGCTTAAACCTTCAATGGCTACCATGTCACTTCTTTCCACAACCTACAAGCCCCTACATGATCTTTCCCTTGCCCACCTCTCTGACCTCAACTCCTATCTCTCCCTGTTGCTCATTAAGTTCCAGACACACTAGCCTCATCTCTATTCCTCAGACACTCAACCCTTCTTTCTGTCCTCAGGATCTTTGCACTTGCTGTGCTCCTCCTTGAAGCTCTTCTCTCCTCTCTTCAAGTGACTAGCTCCATGACTTCCCTACCTGTGATGGTTAAGATTGTGTGTCAACTTCGCTGGGCCATGGATTCTCAGTGGTTTGGCGGTTATGATGTCGTTTGGCAGCTTTTTAATGATGTAATCACCTCCATAATGAGATCTGATATAATGTGATCACCTCCATGATGAGATCTGTTATGAGCAGCCAGTCAGTTGAATGGGAGTTTCCTTGGTGGTGTGGCCTGCATCCAATATAGGTGGACCTTCTGGCAAAGTCTGCTGGCTTTTGCTCACTCTGGATCCTGCACCTGGCTCCTGCTCATCTGACCTCCTGTTCTTGGAACTTGAGCTAGCAGCTTACCTGCCAATCTTAGGATTCATCAGCTTCTGCAGCCTGTTAGCCAGATGCCTGCTGTCTGAACTGCTTATCTTGGGTTCACCAGCCCTTGCAGCTACGTGAGTCAGGAGAAGCCTCCAGCCTGACACATGGACTTGGGACTTTCCAGCCTCTACAACCACATGAGCCATTTCCTTGATATAAATTTCTCTCAATATATATTTATATGCTCCACTGGTTTTGCTTCTCTAGAGAACGGAGCCCAAGACACTACCTAAAAGAGGTCTTCTGGTTATTCTACATCACAATACCTGCTTTTCCCTTCAGAGAAGGTATCAAATGTGTAATTAATTATTCACTTGTCTCTCATCTTCTGTCTCCCCCACAAGGCTATAAGTTCCATGAAGGCAGAAGCCATGTTTATCTTCTTCACTAATTAACGCTCTGTACATGGTAATATAATGGTATTATATTATATATTATATTGTATAATATATGGTATTATAACGACACATGCAAAGAGCTGGAGATAGAAAACCAAAGGGGAAAAACATGCTCAGCATTTATCAAACTGAAAGAACTGAAGAAAAAAATTCAAGCTTCAAGTTGCAATAGTGAAGGATTCTACAGGGAAAATATTAAACAATGCAGGAAGCATCAAAAGAAGATGGAAGGAATACACAGAGACACTATACCAAAAAGAATTGGTCAACCGTTTCAGCAGGTAGCATATGATCAGGAACCGATGATACTGAAGGAAGAAATCTAAGCTGCACTGAAGGCATTGGCAAAAAACAAGGCTCCAGGAATTGACAGAATACCAACTGAGATGTTTCAACAAACGGATGCAGTGCTGGAAGTGCTCACTCATCTATGCCAATAAATTTGGAAGAGAGATACCTGGCCAACCAACCGGAAGAGATCTATATTTATGCCTATTCCCAAGAAAAATGATCCAACTCAATGCAGAAATTATCGAACAATATCATTAATATCACACACAAGTAAAATTTTGCTGAAGATCATTCAAAAGCGGCTGCAGCAGTATATCGACAGAACTGCCAGAAATTCAAGCTGGATTTAGAAGAGGACGTGGAACTAGGGATATCACTGCTGATGTCAGATGGATCCTGGCTAAAAGCAGAGAATACCAGAAAGATGTTTATCTGTGTTTTGTTGACTGTGTAAAGGCATTTGATTGTGTGGATCATAATTATGGATAACATTGCAAAGAATGGGAATTCCAGAACACTTAGTTGTGCTCATGAAAACCTGTACACAGATCAAGAGGCAGTCATTCGAACAGAACAAGGGGATACTGTGTGGTTTAAAGTCAGGAAAGGTAAGAGTCAGGGTTGCATCCTTTCACCATACCTATTCAATCTGTATGCTGAGCAAATAATCTGAGAAGCTGGACTCTGTGAAGAAGAACAGGGTATCAAGATTGGAGGAAAACTCATTAACAACCTGCTTTATGCAGATGACACAACCTTGCTTGCTGAAAGTGAAGAGGATTTGAAGTACTTACTGATGAAGATCAAAGGCCACAGTCTTCAGTATGGATTGCACCTCAAAATAAATAAAACAGAAATCCTCACAACTGGACCAATAAGCAACATCATGATAAACGGGGAAAATATTAAAGTTGTCAAGGATTTCATTTTACTTGAATCCACAATCAACATGGAAGCAGCAGTCAAGAAATCGAAAGACACATTGCATTGGGCAAGTCTGCTGCAAGAGACCTCCTTAAAGTGTTAAGAAGCAAAGATGTTAGCTTGAAGACTAAGGTGTATCTGACCCAAGCCATGGTGTTTTCAGTCACCTCATATGCATGCGAAAGCTGGACAAAGAATAAGGAAGACCAAAGAAGAATTGACACCTTTGAATTGTGGTGTTGGCAAAGAATATTGAAAATACCACGGACCGCTAAAGTAATGAAGAAATCTTTCTTGGAAGAAGTACAACCAGAATGCTTCTTAGAAGCAAGGACAGCGAGACTATGTCTCACATACTTTGGATGTGTTATCAGGAAGGATCAGTCCCTGGAGAAGGACATCATGCTTGGTAAATTAGAGGGTCAGCAAAAAAGAGGAAGATCCTCAACGAGCTGGATTGACACAGTGGCTGCAACAATGGG